CTGCCTTCCTTATGCACCCCCCTCTGCCTTCCTTATGCACCCCCCTCTGCCTTCCTTATGCACCCCCCTCTGCCTTCCTTATGCACCCCCCTCTGCCTTCCTTATGCACCCCCCTCTGCCTTCCTTATGCACCCCCCTCTGCCTTCCTTATGCACCCCCCTCTGCCTTCCTTATGCACCCCCCTCTGCCTTCCTTATGCACCCCCCTCTGCCTTCCTTATGCACCCCCCTCTGCCTTCCTTATGCACCCCCCTCTGCCTTCCTTATGCACCCCCCTCTGCCTTCCTTATGCACCCCCCTCTGCCTTCCTTATGCACCCCCCTCTGCCTTCCTTATGCACCCCCCTCTGCCTTCCTTATGCACCCCCCTCTGCCTTCCTTATGCACCCCCCTCTACCTTCCTTATGCACCCCCCTCTACCTTCCTTCTGCATCCCTTTTCACCAAAACAACCCCTACACCTTGAACGAAAAAATCAAACAAGAGCAGCATCTCTCCTGTTGTGTCCTGACAAACTGACAGAAATTAAACTTACATTGGTCTAGTGCAGAAACAGAAGCGCTGAGTTGTGCTCTGAAGTCGTTAAACTCCTCGCCAGTAGTGTCCAGTTCCTCTGATTCCATCATGTCCATCATGCTGTCTTCTTCCTTTACTGAGCCTTCTGGGAAATCATCCATGCTGTTCTCTGTTGACCACTCGGGTCCCGCTACCGAGGGAGGTTGGCTGGCGGCATATGATGATGTGTCGTCGCCTGGAGTGAGTAAGATGTCATTTTCCAACTTGGACAAATGCTCGTCATTCTGTGAAAATAGCGAGGTAAATGAATGTAAATGAGGAAAGGTGTCAAATTCATTTTTTAAAAGGCAAGGCAGAGAAAAAAAAACCAAAGATAGACCGAGAAAAGATAATCTCGGAGTGGACTGGGGCTGAGACTTGGACACGTAAGCAAAAGTCCTCAACAAAGTCAAGTGAGGAGTTGTCTGTCAATGGAGGACTTTAAGTCCTACCGGTAACTCAAAACAGATGTTACGTTAAACGTTAGTTTTCTTCATAATTTGACTGTGCCGAGGTTATAGAAACTTGCGACAAATTGAGCGAAAATTAAACCCACATTCGTTCGCAACTAATTTCTCTAGCTAAATCCAACAATTCACTCAGGGGGATCTCAAATTTTTCTGCACCAAAATTTCTAAGCCTTATAACATCTCTGGGGTAAAATAAATGGCAAATGAATTTACAGTTTCACTGTAGAATATAACCCTCTTGCTTACCTCCTTCAGGGCGTCGTCACAAAACTGGAGAAGTCTTTCGGCCATCCCAGAAAAGTCGTGATGTTCACCTGTAATAAAATTACCAAATGTCAGTTGAAGTTACGCAAGATGTGATCTAAATTGGTGTATTATAACTTCCTATCGAGTGATTTAGGCGGGCTATTCTCCTCAGAACGCTACACCGAAATAAGAAGTAGTTCTCGTGAGTGACTCATACCATTATAGACGACACTGTTCCTATGCATCATGCGCATGTGCTCCATAAACTCTTCTCTATTTTGATAGGCGTGTATTTGCACTTGCTGCGAATCAAGACAGAGAGCTGGTTAGCCTGTGCCACTTTTTCCCAATCCTCATCAGCACTAACTTACATTTAACTGCCATGCCAACGAATTGTCTGTGCATGATGCTGACCCAGTTTTAGAGCTAATCACACCTGAGGTGGCAACGGAAGTGGCAAGAAATAGAGAATTTTGTTGTTGTTGTTGTTGTGGATTAGCTGGTTAACCCATTACATCCTGATATCATTATGCATATTCTCCATACTGTTCTTTATACATTTCCTAATGTGCTGATAAGGAGAATTTGTTTAACAATCAAGAGCTTCTTCAGTTGGTGATCATTTCCTGTATTCTCCTGACCTTAATGTTTGATTGAGGGGTAATATTGTAGAGAGAAATTAGATGTTGGTCAGTCTTAGAGGTTAAAGGGTTAACGAAGGCGGCTAACTGATCTGCAGTTGGGCTGAGGAACGAACAAAAGGTAAGGAATAATATCAACGACGTACAATTATGCCTTACCTGTTTGATTGTGAGAAGATCGATCGGCGTTTTTACTACTTCGTAGTAATCTGGCACCTGTTTAGCGCTGACAGGCTTTAGAAAAGGCATACTCTGGGAAGAAAATATACCGATGAAGCAGAATCGTACATTAAAGTAAGCATTGAGGCCCAAAACCAGTTTTAATTCATGGAAATCTAATCAAGTCGGATCTCATGAAGATCTAGCTGTTCTATATTTACAAGAAATACTTACCTCCGGTAATGTTTTCATCTGCACGAGGAGATTTTCCAGAATGAACGAAAAGGCAATCTGAGAAGTTAAATAAATATAAAGTAACGTTAAGTTAAAGGACGTGAAAAAAAAAAATGAAACCCGACATTTGCAAATGCACGTAATTACATCTACATGTCCTTGTTTTGAATAATTACCTGCGGATCATCACTAAGCATGGGATTTATTTCTTTCTCCAACTGAAGAATTTCTTCCTCTTTCTGAGAAAAAAATAGCAATTTAACACTGACAGATATCATGGTAAAGAAACACTTATCTACAAGAGGCGACCTAGTTAGGTATCGACAGAACGCAACCAAAACAAATGAATAGCAAGGTGGCAAACGTGGACTGGGATAACCAAATCACAAGTCCAGTTACTGGTAACTTAACGGGCTAGTAAAGCTGTTCTGTTTTTATTCGAGAAGGGGGTTTCAATAGTTTTGAAAACTACAATTCAAAACTATCAGCTCCAAAAATCCAAATGAACAAGTTAGCGTGCCAGAACCTGTTTCACTATTCTTCAATTTTGATTTTAAAAATGTTTCGGGCCTCAGCAACCTAACAACTCGGCAATGCTGTTAACAACCCACATGCAAAACAGAAATGAAGTCGATCGTAAACTTAATTAATCAATCATTAATGAATAATTCAATTTTTAATAGAGCACCACATCAATGCAACACTACACGGACGTACTCGTTGTTACACTTACATCAGCCAAAGACTTTTCACAAACTTCCAACATCTTCTGAGCTGCAGCAGTGAAATCGTGAGTAGGTCCTGAAAGAGCAAGAAAAAAAAACCATTTCAATTCTGGGGCACGCGTACGTGCGAGTTGAGAATTACAAGCTATGAAAGAGGTATGAATTATGCAGAGAGTGCTGACGTTATTTTTCGACTCACCATTATATAAGATGCTGTTTGCCTTGATTAAGGACACGTGCTCACGAAAATCCTCCCTTGACAGATATTTACTCTTTCGGAGATTCTAACAATAAAAATGAAATAAGACCACAGGAAAATGCTATAGAAGGAGGCTGGCAGTTTTTGGATGACAATCAAAGTTCTTGAAAATATCATTCAAAATCACACACCTCTCGCATGGTTTGTAGATCCATGGGATTTTTAACAATTCTGTGGTAATCAGGAACAGTTTTTGCTGAAACAGGCTGATGAAAAGGCCACGTCTGTCAAAGTAAGAGAGGAAAGGTCAAAGGATCTTATACAAGCATTAAAATTCACTTTTAAATGGAGAAAAGTGAAGCTGACCCGCTACGCATAGTATCTAGTGATGTCGAGGTGGAGCCGATTCTTCAGCAGATAACTGGGGAGACCTTGAATAGGGGTACGAACAGAGCCCCCGACGCCCGTCTCCACATACACGCCCGAGGTTTCTGGGAACGACAGAGACCTGCATTCTTTGATTTTCGCGTATGCCACCCAAATGCAGAATCCTAACGTAAAAGGACTCCCGAGCAAGTTTACAGGCAGCATGAGAGTGAGAAGAAACGTCAGTATGCCAACAGGGTCATGAAGGTCGAACAAGGAACTTTTACGCCTTTAATATTTAGTACAACAGGTGGAATGGGCACAGAATGTAAAATATACCATAAACGTCTAGCTGAGTTAGTATAAAATAAGAAGGGAGAGAGCGATGCAAGCACCATGTCATGGATTAGAGCCAAGGTATCATTTGCGCTCATTCGTTCAGCTTTGCTATGCCTGAGAGGATCATGATCCATCAGAAGAACCCTCGATATCACTGACTTGGACTTCTCCCTCGACAACGCTACCGCATGTCCAACGTAGTTCTGTGAATTTTACCAAGTTTTATATATACTTTCTTTTTTTTTTTTTTGTTTCTACCTTTTTGTGAATTTATTAAATTATTATGATTACATTTTAGGGCTAGTGTAATTTTATCTCTTGAACAATAAAGACGCATGTTTATTTTAGCATCGAAAATAATAATGCTGATGATGATGAAAAGGATTAGATTGTAAATAGGAGTTTAATTGAAATCGGAACTACTAATAGGTCGTTGTTACTTTTAACTTGTAAATAGTTATTTGCTTTGAGTGTTAATAAAGTTTGATATATTAAAATAAAAATTGAAATTATGATCCAAATCATATAGACATTCTTGCTAAAAAAAAGGTCTTTCTGGCATTACATACATTTAAAAGAATCACCATCATCATCGTTCCTCTACATAAATCTTGAACTTTAAAAATAATGGAAAGATAAAATCCTGAAAAACCAGTGACTTATTTACGTATAAATTAAAATTATAAAAGCTGTAAAAATAATAATAGTCAATAAACCACAACAAAAACAAATACTCACATCCTCCATTTCCTTCATTTTATTGATGATTCCCTCAAAGAGAGCTTGTAAAGCCAGCTAAAATTAAAGCTAAAATTAAAGAGCGCAAGATCAAGGCAGAAGTTACAGAAGGAAGCTAAGTTAACAAATTGCCTCGGTAATCAAAATTTCTAATTCAATTACTGACTGAAGATTAGTATAACTAGCGCATCGCGGAATACGTTCCACTCTGAATCGAACCTGAAATGGCTGCTGAAGGAAAGAAACAATTACCTCAGGGTTGGCTCTTCGGCGGTTAATCGATTTGCGAGGTTTCTAGAAACAAACAAACAAAAAAACAAAATGTTGAACGTTAGCTGGGTAAGATTAAAACAATCTTTTTGTTGGTCAATTAAAATACTTCACTAAACAATCGTACCTTTAGATAATCACAATGCATGACTCCTGAACGTCTTTTCTTGCGCACTAAAAAGAAATTAACAAATGAAAACAAATACACCAACAAATAATCTAACAGAATAAACTAACTAATCATCGCATATGATAGCTCAACATTTCACTCACCGGATTCTTTCGGGAAGCGTAGGACAAGTGCTTTCCTTTTCAATTCGTTCGTTCTGGAGGAAGACAGCACATGACAGTGTATAAATTTTGTCAAATGAGAGGTTCGATTAGTCTTACTCTAGGTCCTTATATAGTTCTAGCGACTGGCAAATCACCCGTCGGTGGTGGCTACCAGAGACAGAGCCCGAACCCAGTCTTACTCAACGGCCATGCTTTTGCCGCGCATAGCAAGGGTTACATGCGTCAAGTACTGATTCGATTTTCAGTGCTCTTTAAAAAAAACTTTAAAAAGGAAAAGAAATAACTTTGTGTTCTGAATGTTTCATTGTACTTAAAGTCCTTAAAAATAACCTTTCAGCTATGATAAGAAAATTTTCTTGCACAGCATTCAAGGCCGTGTGTCTACCAGCAGACGCTTGTGCTCAAAATTGTTTGATACACTTACTGATCAAGAAAAGCTTTTCCCAAAGTAATTTTCGTTCCTTCAACTTTGACCAAATCATCCTGCGGCATGTTGAGTTCCTCCTCAGCAACCTGCTCATCAGTCATGGCCACGACTACAGAAGCCGGATTCGCCTCTTGGTAGTTTGGACAGTTCTTGTTCGTCCGCATATGTCCTATTGCCCCACACGCGCCACATTTTAACTAATCAAAATAGAAAATAAAATCCCTGCTGAAACAATGAATTGCATTTTAGGTTCTTGTTAATCCGTTTATATTTCAATGGTTGCTTGCTCAAAATTTTTCGCCTGTTATCAACGCTTAGGTCATATCTGTGAGTGTTTTCTGATTACGGATGTTATCAATACTCAGGTCATATCTGTGAGTGTTTTCTGATTACGGATGTTATCCCTGATCTTAAACCTTTTGTCCTTCAGTTCGTTTGTCACACTGTTTCATGTGTAGCTACCTCGGATAGAGCACAAGTGTGACATTCAGATCTTGGGAGTCAAATAGTTAGTGAAACCCCACGAGCGTGGCATCAACTTCCAAAGTTAGAAACACCATTGTTACCAACGAGCGGGAATGTATGCACGTAGCTTTTTAGTTCTTGACTAAGAAAATTTTGTCGAAGATGAAACAGCGCAGCAGTGCCAAATTTAAGAAGAAGTTTTGGAGATTTAGGAATCTTAGTCCTTCCGCTCAGAGAGGTTGCTCCACTTTTGTGCCTCTCACTACACAATAATATCATGGTAATTACGTTATTTGGAGGTTTTTCTTTCTTCTTTTTGACTGGCTGTAGTTTCTCTTTTTCTTGGTTTCGCTTAATCCTTCGCAACTGTTCTTGTATTCTAGAATTTCAAATAAAACTTATGTTACTGTTGTTCCTCTGATTGATAAAAAGGCAAAGAGATCAACTTCATTTAATTGAAAAGCCAGTCAAGTCACCTTCTCTTTTCCCGTCGGATTTCCTCTTTGTGTACCTCATCGACACTCGCAAACTGAGCTCTGCGAGAAGTGAACGAAAGCGAAGAAGGTTGAGTGAGGAAGTAAAATGTTCCCACAACATCATATCCCCATTTAAACGAATTAAAACCACAGAAACAATCAACAAGTTAATTACTTGACGCTTTTGTCCTTGTTTAGCTTTAAGTACGCATCAATAACGGCCTGGTTTTTGACGACTTCAATGCGAACAAATTCCTTTCCGTCCGGCGTTTTAAACGTTCGTCTGATACGAAGGCGACGCCCAACCTGGAAGAAAGGAAAAAAAAAGGTAATAAAAACAACAACCATGTTATGAGACAAAAGGAGAAGAGAGGGAAAAGGAGAAGAGAGGGAAAAGGAGAAGAGAGGGAAAAGGAGAAGAGAGGGAAAAGCCTACAGACCTTACACGGGTTAGATGTTACCTAGATTTAGACAAATGTTTAAATATTACCTATACCAAGGAAAAATTTTCATTTGAGGGTCAAAAGTCATCTGGGATTGCATTGGTTTTACTTTACTCTGCTCTGTGATTGGTCCTAAAAACTCGCGCCACTCTCTCAACCAATCAGATGCAACACTAAAACCAATCTCGACTTTTGTCTTTCGCGTTTTCCCGCGCTCAGGCGGTTTGCTTGTTTTTGCTTTGAGTTCTCATTGGCTCTTCAGGATGTCTTCCTTTCTTCTGATTGGCCGTTGTAATTACTTTGGTTTTGCTACACATTTCAGTGTTGACAGTCATTACAATCCACTTACCATCGATGATTCGTAACTCGTCACTGAGGCCGTTTCATCCTCATCTCCTTTGCTATCTTTCTTAACTCCTTCCTTTCCGCCCTTTTCGCCTGCGAGTTTAAGAATGAAAGAATAATTTGATTTACAAGATTTGCCGACAGGCAGGGACACGGCAACAGCTTTGCGCCAATCACTGCGGGCCCAGTAACCCACCCATCCCACATCCATCACACAGTTGTCTCTTTGGAGTCGCGTGGGAACTTTATTTCGCGTAAATAAATTCAATCCAGTTTCCAGGCTGGAAAGCGAAATTTCCTTTAAGACACATAAATAATGTAGCGCGAGGGAACCATATAAGGGAGATTGTTGTGGAAGCTTATGTCTTCAGTCTGCCAGTATAGGAGTGACTTTTTTTATCGTCAATACTGTTAAATCTTTAACTGGAACGTACGGTTTCATATAACATGACATTGTCCACACAGGCTTCTGCTGTTAAGAGATGAAGAAGCGACTGATGACAACTACAGTAAAATCAAAAGTAGGTACACAAGACGGAAGCCTTACCTGCAGACTTGCCATTCTGCTTATACAAGGAATAAAAAACAGAAATAAAAAAAGCATGAATACAATGCTTCTTTGAGTATCACAGGCATCAAAGGAAAGGGATTATTACAATGCTTTGAAAATGCAACGATGTTTCTTGTATGAAAGACCCACTAAGTTGGTAGGAGGGGGAATCTAGTTAATACTTAGAGCTAAGAAATGAAGAGAAAAGGAACATGATAAATACAGATGTTGACGTATTACACTTACAGATTCTTTGCTGGGTTTGTCATCGCTCAGGAGCTTCTGAAGTTCTCTTCTCTCGGCCTCTTCTTCTTCATGAGTGAGCTAAGGTACAAAAACAAACCTTAGCAACGAGGTGCCACAAACTACAAAACTTAAAATCAAGAGCAGAAAGTTTGTTTTACTTCGCTCTATCATTGGTACAGAAAACCCCCACTCCCCCGCTTCCTTGCGACCAATTAGAAACAAAGCTAAAACCAATCACGTTTGTCTAACGGTTGTTTTTATTACAAGTTCCCATTGACACTTAAAGGCATTTCCTCTACTATGATTGGCAATTGTTATTACTTTGGTTTTGGTTCTACGACATACAATCGAAAAGCGCTTGATTACTTAAAAGTAATCAGTTGATTTTGAGTTCGTTTAAGAATGAATAAGCGCGAACAAATTTTTCACGAGCGTCCATAATGATAGGAGTTGGATTGACTTAAAAATAAAATCACAGTGCGTTCTGTTCAGGAAATGAAGGTTCTTCCTAAATAGAGATTATTTTTCGTTATGAGAATTCTTCTTTTTCCATCTCCATTTCGTAGCTACATTCCCCCACGTGGAACATTGGACATGAAAGGGTAACTAAGAAGAATTTTAAAATCCACCTGCATACTGGTTTTCTTGTTTGCCAACATGCTTTCCAGGTTTTTTCCCAACTCATCGATATCGCTTCCCTCATCACTGCTACTCTCCTCGTCCGTAGACAGGACCTCAGTTGATGATAAAACTCTACAAGTGAAAAAGAGATAAAAAATGTAAACAAACCGCTGATAGTTCACCGGTACCTATCATAAGTGTAAATATACTCAGAAATATCTTTCGTGGTTACAGGAACTCCACAGCCAAAGGTCTTGTTGCGTACCTGTTTTGTAGATCAAATATCCGCTGACATTCTTCTTTGTAGCGTTCCTGATGTTCAGCAATTGTGAATCTTGATCCTCTGGCGAACTTGCTCATACCTGCACACAAAAGATACAAAAATAATTTAAACGTGCATGACCGCTATGTTACTTATAGTTCAATACAGCTTGACACTAGCGTTACCTTAATGATTGACAGTAATGTGACACTAGCGTTACCTTCATGATTGACAATAATGTGACACTAGCGTTACCTTAATGACTGACAGTATTGTGACACTAGCGTGACCTACCTCCTTCTCCAGACTTAGCCGCCTCTGTTGACATTGTGCGGACGACATGAATCACTTCCCATCTGGACAACTTTCGAATCTACACAAAGAAACAAAGAAACAACTGCCTAAACACGACATTAGGAAAGAGTGAGTCTTCAGCAACATCCCACAGATGTCAGGAAAGCAAAAGGGCGGTTTAGCTACGTGTTACAACCCTCATGGCCGTCTGTTACCGGAGCTTATCCAAGTTCGTGTAGCATAAAATAACTGAGAGTACTTCTACACTTCCTAAATGGAGTGCTAGTCCACCACAGGAAACCCAGCCCCATCCGTCAAAAGAGTAACGTCTTGCCCAGGAACACCACATGACCCGGCCTTGTTTCGCACCAGGACTTGTCGATTTAGAGTCTAGCGAGCTAATCAAAACATACCACAAAAGGAGAGAGAGCTTTTTTTGCGACATCACCGGGACACAAGCTGATAATAAAATGGCAGAAGATTAACAGAGTTACCTCTTCATCTGATACTCCAAAGTTTCTGAGCACTTGTCGAGCTTGTTTCAAAGACAATCTCCTCAGGTCGGCATCAGTTCCAGTAACTGTCTTTTGTTTTCGTATCTGAGGAGAGTTGGTGCTGGAATCATCCTGATCAAGCCACAAAGAAAAGATAACAGAGTCATCATCTCGCACAAAGAAGGCACTTTGTATCCACTATGCGTCTTACAAGAGAGAAAAAAAAAAAAAAAAAGCAGCATAAAGAGGCCAAACAAAAAACTCTCCCAAGCACTTTCGCTAAATCCTCGTCAAACCATCGTGACGCTGACAAGTTTATCTGCTCGATTACAAAAAAGCGCATGAATACCAAGTAAATTAGCAGGTCAGGTCGATTCAGGAGTGTCATGTAACATATCAATAACATTGAGAATTGATCAAAAATAAAACCCCGAGTTTCTCTATCTTCTAGCCACGCAACAGAACTAAAACAATTTCGTGGGCAGTACTCCACCTTATTTGCCATAGGCTTGTTAGGTACTCTAACGTATGAAAATCCTTCCCCACACCCAGTAGGGTCCGCAGAACCTGTCACAGCCAGCTGACATTTTCCTCTCATGGCTGAGATAAATGCTCTTGTGGTATTCCATGGGGCTGTGCGAACCTAGAGGAAAGAGGCGAGTCGCACTTTTAACCTGACTTACTAATAAGACATTCCACATCCATAAATGAATTTTCCATCTCGCTAACATTTACCTCGTCATCAATATTTTTGCTTTCTGGATCATCGTTGTCATCCTCGCAGGAGAACAGAGATTTCTCGCCATAACCAGCATCCTTTGAAAAGTTAATAGAAAAGGAATTAAAAGCTAATTGAGTAATGCTCAATCGACAAACAAACATCAATAACACAAATAATCTGTAATGATCTGTATTGAGCAATTTGCACTGGTAAGATCTATTACAACTGCGCAGGAAGCAAAAAAAAAAATAAAGAATGACTGGAGCTTTCTCCTTCTTCAGTCGCACATGGCAGCCCACCTTGAGTCTCTGTTCTGCAGCCAACATGCTGTAATAAGCACAACACTGCTCGGGTGACACCAGAGCTCGCATCTCTTCCTCCGTTGGCAAACGGAAATCATTCTTCAATACCCACCAATTACAGTCAGTACCTAAGATAACATTAGGATGTATCAGTCAGCTACTACACCAAGCACGCGCTAACTTTCCAATCTGCTCTGTTTCTAACTTCTCTAAAGCTTTCATGAGCCATAACACCATGCTATACTATGTAATTTAATAATCTTCTGCAGAACTCTACGCTATGCTACTTTATCTGACACTATTTTTTCTCTTCATTCATAAATAATAATAATAATAATAATAATAATAATAATAATATAAATGAAACAGTTGTTTACAGTTGTATCAACTAAAACACAGTGTATCGCGCCATGTTATGCCCGGTCAAACGCACGCAACATTTCAAAGTAACATCTTGTAACACTGTTGGATCCTGTTGTGAGTTGTTGTGAAGGAGCTGGCCAAACGCGCGCAACATCTTGCAACATCCAAAATTGTTGCAACAAAACTCTGACCATTCGCAAACTTAAACCAACACCATCCAACATCTTGCATTGCAGGGTGGCCAGTCGTGTGAAACAGGTTGCGCGCGACAATGTTGCTTGATGTTGCGTTGAAATGCTGCGCGATGTGGTCGGGCCTTTGCCATGCTAAATGTAACTAACATAAGCTACACTATTCCACTCGTGTCTACCCTATACTCACTGTCAAAGGTAAGATCTTTGGACTCCATTTCCTGTGAATCTAAAATAGTTGATCTCGTTAAGGTAATTGGCTCACCTTGCTGCTGGCTACTGTTTAATTTGGTTTCACTGACTTACTCAACATCTACCCTGCACTGAACTATTCTCACCTACGCCAGTAAGAATTCATACTCCTGTAAGACAGAGTCAAACACGTGCGACTAACTCATTCACACATCTCTAACTCACGCATGTAATCATCATACTCTCGTGTAACTAAGTCGCACACTTGCTACACACTCGTTCACGCATTTACCAACTCACAAGATAGATTAACAACCACCTTTACTACAAACACGAACGGAAAAAAAAAAATTATCTAATTTCGCTTGATTTTTTTCAAACCCAAACAGATCCAAAGAAATACAGGAAAACTTTTTCAGATCACAGTAAATGTAAATATCTCCACGTGAATGCACAAACAGCTTTAATAATGGTAGACAACAAATGTTTGATCCTTGGATTTGCCGTTAGTCTCCAATTAGATTCTTAATTGATAAAAATTGCGCGATTGCATCTACTCAATTATGCACGTGCACGATAGATCCCGACACTTGCAAACTCTCACGAACGTGCCAACAGACTGGCCCCGGTTGTTCAGAGAGCGGATAAAGCTATCCAACAGATAAATCGCCATCCATATTAATTTAATTTATTAGCTTCGCCGACAGGCAGGGACCCCGCAACAGCTTGCACCAATTACTGCGGGCCATAGTACCCACCCATCCCACCCCAGGGGAGGACATCCACCACACAGTGATCTCGTGCGTGGGAAATTAACGTCTCCTACCCCAACCCTGCAGGAGACGGGACCTACGGTTTATTCGTCCTTATCCGAGAAGACTAGAATGTCTACCATTTGCTGATATTATAGAAAGGTAGCACATTGTCCTCAGTAATTTTAAGACCTCGAATGTTGGTCCGGCCGGGGCTCGAACCCTCGACCTCCCGCTCAACAGTCTGGTACTCTATCCATTGAGCTAACCGGGAGGCGGTTATCCAGCGGATAAGTGCTATTAAAACGTACTGCATTATCCACCTGATAGAGATTTATTCAGTATATAGCGTTATCCATCCTTCCAACAAGGGCCAGGTGTATAATTTGAACAAACCGACCAACCTGTTCTTTTAAAGTCAGCACAAAGTTTGAGTCGTTTTCTAATGCTACTCTCAGAGTGCATCGGGAAGGCTCGTTTGATGTCGTCCATCTTGATTCTCCTTGGAGTGTCTGGACTTTTCCAAAACAATCGATAGATGAAAATCTGTGAAAATATCAAGCCATCTTAAGATCTGCCACATCTTACAAATAACCTTCAGTCTGCTTAGATGAGCTTCTCCCAGTTTCTAGAACATTACGCAACGAAGGGTATCGTTTCTCTCCCCTGGAGGGATGCAGGTCCATCACAAGTTACTTCCCCCCCTCCCCCACCACCCAGCGTTTAGTCAGGCATTCCCTAACAGAGTTACCGGCACCGACCTATATTCCTGAATGGAGAGACACACTGTACGAACAAAGCGTCTTGCCCAAATCAACAACACGGTATGGATCGAGCCCGAATCTTTGGAATTACAGTCCCGCACGCTCAACATAAAGGTCCCCGCAATTTCTTTTCCCTTCACGTGACCACCATCGAGCATATTGATGACTTCATCAACTCAACAAAATATTTTCCCATCCGACCGGGCCAAATTCAGCCAATAAGCCGTTTTTTCTTTTTCTCCCTTTCTTCTTTCCGCTCGCATCTCACTGGGCCGCACAGCTCTTTCTGGCCCTGCTTACGCCATCTTGTACGGCTCTTCTACGGGGTTTATTAAAAAAACAATAGCTCTTATCCCAGTTCTGCGTGCGTGGTTTAGTCGGACAGCGGTTTATTATATAAGCGTGCGAAAAAGCGAGGATATCAGGTCAAGCCTGGGGCCGATAACACATTTTAATCAATCTTACATGATAATGAGTTTCGCTCCGACGAAGGGCTAACGCTCGAAACGTCAGCTTTCATAATCGTAACGGTGGCCAATTTACCATTTCAACTTTGTTGATATATTCAAATTATTTCGTTACCCCTACCGACGCAGCCCCAAACAGTTTCTTTAGAAACTATCCGCCTTTTTACATGATAATGCATTCAAGTTCAACTTACTTGGAGGAAATCTCTGGCGTGAATGTTCGCTTTTTTCGAATTTGGTCCTGGAACTTCAAATTTTGGGCATTCCTGGCCCACAGTAAAAATTGTTTTCACATCACGAATATGATACCTAAGTAACAACAACAAAATAGTAAATTTTAGTGGAAAAACATCGAATCTAAGGAATCTTACGCCAGGTTTTTTACAGCAAAATGTGTGACCATATTAGAAGAAGCGTGTGTTCACATCAGCCATAAGCTTGGAGCGATCATAATGAAGTGCCTGATAAAGAACGATGTTTTTATTTTGGTCTCGTCATGAGCGTAGGACAAAGATAAAAATTCCTTATAATAGATCGACCCTCAGAACTTCGAAAATCGCACTCCAATGCTCTACCACTGAGGCGCAGAGAAGTCAGTGGTGAAGCAGACCATCACTAGATTCATGAGTAAAGGGAAGATACAGTACTAACCCAGACGAATTTCTGATGATAAGGAAGTCTGTCTCAGGTAATTCGTGTTGGAAAATCGGAGCTCTAAACAAGTTGCTCTCAAAAGCCTACAAAGAAAGACAACAGTTCGACCTTTGCAGCATACAAATTACAAAAATGGATCGAGTTTCATTACTCTCAAAGTGAGGGCAGTTCTAAAAAGAAGTGGTGTCAGTACTCAGGTTATCGTAATATCAGATACTGACACAGAAAACAATGTTTTTAATAACCGCCCTAATAAGGATGAAGACACGACTCAGACTTTAAAGGCGAAACAATAAGAGTTGCTAACGTTCTCTCTGAAAAGAAAAAAAAGTTGTCCAGACCGACCTGTAGAGACTCCCCTGGTGCCAACTGGCCAAGAAATGGCGATGTCTGATGCACTGGAATTGGTTCTCCATACTCATAAGCTGGCATACTCTCATCCTTCCCTGGTTTCTAACAGTAAAGCATTGTAAAAAGTACTGGTATGTGAGAATGGGCCACAGGTAATAATCATTACACATTCACGATTAAATAAACCCTCCTACACCCACGGTAGATGAAATCAAATGAGCTGAGCACAATCTCCTTTCTCTTTTAAGTATATCATTGCCCAGATGATAAAGCTTGCGTGAGAAGAGAAGATAGGAGCGTGCGCGAGAGTTCGCCCTTCCCATACACCCTACGTCTGCTTTCCCTTCCAATACACCCCAACCCAGCCCCCCTCCCTATACACATCACCACCCTCCCCCATACACCCCATCCCCACCCCTCCCCATACACCCTACCCCCAACTCCCTCCCCATGGCTGCCACACTCTATTTTGACTCTAAAGCCTGCTACACAGGAAACACATGATCATGCTATACGACATGCAGCCATTAATTCTAGTAGTTAAAGCTGTTTCCTCACCCGTTTGTAATAATTTCTAATCTTTGCATTCATGCCAACAGCCATGATGAGTGGCGGATATTCCTCACAGTATTCAAAAAACACCAAACTGCCGTCCATTCCAGTCAGATCAGCTGGTGTTCTCATGAAGAACATTTCTCCTCCTCCTGATGCAAGGCGCTCCTTTTCACGTTCCTAAAACAAGAGATAAATTGTGAAAAGTACATTTAGACCGCCTCTGAAATAAGTAGCTAATTAAGTTAAGGATTATCTTGGTTTCCGTGAAATGAAGAGACTATTAAGATGGCAACCCCCCTCTACCCAGTTGGGATTTAACTAATAAACGCCAGCGTATTGTCCCATCCTCATCTTGGAGCTCGTTCATTCTCTCAAATGGAGAGATGCTCCGTGAGAGTAAAGAGTTGAAATTGCATTTTTGATCATCTGAAGATTTACTTCACAGCTCTTTTCGATTGGTTTATAAATCTGACCCCATCCTCAATTATCCCACAGACAATCCTACTCTTGAAGGTGACCTCCAGTCTGGTTGTCAAAATGCCAGACACTGTTACTGACAGTAGCCTTTTTATGACTGATTTTCTACCTCACCCCACCCCACTAATACAATATTTTGTCATGTGTCCCTTATGCTTCACCAATACCCATTTGTGCTCTGGGGAGGAGAAAAGCAATGACAGAATGAAGTGTTTTCCTCAAGAACACAACACAATAATGCACCTAAGCCTTGAACCCAAGGAGTCTGGTGCACTACACATGAGCTTACTTCATCTCCTGCTAGTAAAAAATCAAACTGCTTTTCTCACCCTGGCTTTCTTCTTGATATGCTTCAGTAGCCCATATACATTATGTCTTCCAGGTTTGGACAGGGGTCCATGGCCAATACCCTTTAGAGGGACACGATGAAAATGACGCAAGTCCACTGCAACCATATAAGTGGGAAAATACGGCCGCTGGAGCTCAATGGCAGGCAGTGAATGCTGAACAAAATGAATAAAAAAAATATTCAGAATTCTAACTCACTCTAACAAGTACCAGAAAACATATTAACCCTTTAACCTTAAGAGTGACCAACATGTAATTTCTCCTTGCATTATCAACCCTGAATCACACATTAAGGTCAGGAGAATAAAGGAAATGATCACCAACTAAAGGAGCTCTTGATTGTTAACCAAATTCTCTTTGTCAGCACTTTAGGAAATGTATGGAGAGCAGTGTGGAGAATAATAATAATAATAATAATGACTTTATTGGATCACACAGTTACTGGTAGAACTAGTAGTTTTCACTGTGGTCCTCGCAAACAACTGAAACAAATAATTCAAAGTGAAAATAACAATTATTAAGAATCCCAACTGGCTGGAGGCAAACCAGTTGGCTATTTACAAGCATGGCTGAGGATTTGAACTCGAAGCTACCGTGAAACAAATCCAGGTAGTGGTCAAGGCGGGACTCAAACGCGGGAGTGGCGGATTGCAAGTCCGACATGCTGACCACTCGGCCACACTGCCTCCCTGCATACTGATGTTAGGGCTGGTGGGTTAAAATCCTAAATTATTTCCTTAGAATTGCTGTGGATAATTCATCCAAATTCTATGAGATATGTGTGATTTTACTTCACATGTAGTTATGTGTTATACCCACTGTTTGTAGTTTTTATTGAATTCAAGGTCAAAATGACTGTAGTATCATTTGATGTCTTTTTTATGCCAAACAAACAGTCCTTGGACAAAAGGAAATAAATCTTACACCAATTTGGAATAATTTTGACCTTGATCAGTTAAAACTACAAGAGGGATTTTAAACAAGTAAATACAACTTTTTTCTAGTTGCATGCTAAGAAATAACATTTTATGAAGGAAGACTTTGTTAGCCTTTGAACAAACAATACAGAGCATTGATCAAAATATTCTAGAGAAATCTGCACCTGTACAACCCTACTGAGTATATAAAATTCTGACCTGGACAAGATTTGAACCTCCAGTTGTATCCAAAGAGGTTTCGGCAGCTGTAAACAAACAAGGCCTTTGCTTAACCCTTTATCAAAAGAAGTGATAACCTTTCTCCTATAAATTTCCATATATAATGAAGCCAACAAATGATGAGAATTGAAAAACTCATCAGTTGGAGGGCATTTTTTTGACATCTTGACATAACACTGAATTATCTCAATAAATTTAAAAAGAGACAGAGCAACAAGAGGGGAAAATTACTTCTCAGATCTAGAGACTTGATGAGCTAAATTGGAAATGACAGTTAGTAGCTATAGCCCCAGAAGTGAACCTATACAACTTCTCCTTCCAAAATCATAGCAAATATCAGTTGAAAAGAAAGAAAATATCAATTAAATACAGTTCAGTATTATGACAAATTCTCAGCACCAACACAGAAGGCAATGCATTTCATCAAGAGAGGAGAATTGACATTCAGATCTTGGAAATAAAAGAGTTGAACAAGAAGCTTGCATGATCACTCACTATTCTTTGCACTGTAATATTCATCATTTGATAAATTAAACTTGTTCTTCAGCTGTTCCTCTGATTTCCTCTCTTGTTTCTCATCATCTTTAGAACTGTTCTTTCCCAACAAAAGTTTAGATTTCTTAGCCTCCTGGAAAAAAATTTCAAAGGTTATGGTGTTTGGTTAGAATAAGGAAATTATCAGGATGCTACATTTAGCATCAAAGAAGTAATCAGGTCACTTTTTTTCAGCCTCATGTGGTCCACTGGATCACTCTTAAAAATACCTTATTATTCACAAAATCCAGTAATTTGGTATAAAAGAAGTGTTTTACTTTCCCGCAACTTTGCACATCACTTCTAACCATCTGAAAGTATTTCATGCTAAAAACAATACCGTAAATTCTCTAATAAGCCCCCCTCTTCAGAAGAAGAAATTTATGAAGCCCCCCTCCATTATGTCCCCCACTCCTCCCCCTCAAAAAAAAAAAAATTCAAACACTCCATATCAGTAAGTACAATAAATTTATTCAAATACTTTAATTTTTAGTTTGTCATTTAAAATTGATCATGGTGATTGACTGATTGATTTTATCACGATGATATCAATAGAATATGGTAAACAGAAATTACAGAGGGATGCTAAAAAAATAACATGGCTAAACAAGGTCCATTGAGAGAGTTAGATCATAAAATTGAGTTCTTTATTGAGTTCTAAATTAATAAGCCCCCCCCTCTACTAAGCTACCCCCTCAAAGTATCTGAAATAAATAAGCTCCCCCCCCAGGGGTGGGGGCTCACTAGAGGATTTACAGTAACTGGCATGCTGGCTAGAGTAAGCTTACTGATGTTGAAAGAAGAAAAACAAAAACAGAAAGATAAAATACTAGGTTTAACCAGTTATATCCTATCTACCTTTTTGGGAGTAAGTGTTGCTGTATTTTCCTTGACAAGTGGACCAGTGTCCTCTGGGATACTCAGAATAATGTTCTCATCATTTGGATCCAGTCGCATAATGGTAGGAGAAGGGATTGATGGCATGTTCTAAAACACATTATTAAAAACTGGATCATTGGATAATGCAATTCAAGACTTTTTACTGGCTTAGCCATTATGGCATATGAGCCAATATACCATAATCTAACATCTGTACATTGTAACATCCGGTTTCTTCTTACAAAATAAAGTCGACATGTGTCTAATATCTTGGGGGCGTAATTTTTTAATAAAACAATTATTCCACTCGTGCTTGTTGGATATGAGATGATTATAGCCAACTCGGTGCTACGCGCCTCGTTGGCTATCTCTCATCTAATATCCAACGCGTGCTCATGGAATAATTGTTAAATATAAAGCATGTGATTACATTTCATACACATCCTCCTATTACATGAGGCACTAGGGGTTGGATTTCTAGTACCGTGTAAATGAAGCTTGTGGATGTAATTTGAGAAATTGGAATCAAGAATAAATACCTGTGAATCCCAAATAATCTTATCTTCCCAATCACCATAAACCAGTTCTCTACTTTCCACTGGGAAGATAGAGTACCATGTTGAAGATTTCTGATTATTATTGTCTACTCCAGCTCCTCCTTGTTTGTTGGGCGGATTCAGGAAATTTGTATTAGCTCTGATTGCTTCGGTTGTGTTCTTTAAAAAGGTTTCAAGTCCTGGATGCCTCACGCCTGAGTAAAAAAAAAAGAAAAGAAGTTAAACATCTCATTCTCCATTGCCTATTAGAAGAGCATTTGTCACAATGCATTTATGAAAAAGTTTGTGTTTCAAATAAAATTAATCTTGTTATTAAAATTTGTAATATTTAAAGTAACCCACATTTATTTCTGGTGGGAGGAGCAGAGTCTTACTAGTAACTTCACTTCTTAACTTCACTTTTTAATCAACAAAAAATTATGAAATAGAGGTTTCTCTATACATTGCCTTACATGCTGACAAGGAGAATTTGTTTAACAATCAAGAGCTTCTTCCATTGGTGATTGTTTCCTTTATTCTCATAACGTTTCTGCATGATACAGGGGTGATATTGTAAGGAGAAAACACCTAGATGCTAATCACTCTCAGGGCATGCAAGGGTTAACTGCAGAATGAAACTCTTTCCATACAATATCTGTTGAGCCTTATGGTGTCCATGTTACTAAAAGATGTAATAAGAAAATAAGACAACAGAAAAATAAAAAAAACAGCTATAATCAAATATTTTTATCTATACCAAGTTGTTGTAGTAACTGTTCCTGTTGTGCCGCGTAAGCTTGAGCTGTGCGCGTCGTAGCTGTTGGTATCCAGCCTGCCCTGGCTTGAGCTTGGAGGTTGGGTTTTACATCGTCAAGAGTCCAGATGATATCATCCTCCCAGTTCACTTGGGCCACCATTTCAAAACATTCATCAGGGGGGAGGGAGTCTGGTGATTTAGGCAATACTGAAGCATCACCGACATCCTCTGCTTGCTGTCAGAAAAAGCAAAACAAAACAAACAGAAAGCAACAAGAAATAAATTACATACATATCGAGAATCAGCATGAATGGAACTGAAGTTCAAAATACTTCATGAGAAAGAAGACAATGTATTTTTTTTCAACTTCACCTCCTTTAGCTTGAAACCATAGTCTAAGTTTGTTCCATCATCATTCACTCCGAGCATTTCATACCAAAGAGCTGCTGGGCCATTGCGCCATTCACATGCACTTTTGGTTGAAGCATCCTGGGAACCAGTAGAGTTCCATTCACCTATAGAATCCCTTAATTCGTCAAGGGTTGGTTCCCACGGTGCCATTAATTTGTCCTACAAGAAGATTTCAAAGGTGTTTTGTCACAATATTTTGAGAATCCCCTAAAAACGGAAAGAAATCCCAAGCCCTTTTACTCCCAGTATCAGAGCTCTAATTCTCAACAATGTTTTCCTTACATTTTGTAAATTTGGCTTTGAGAATTTGGTGTTACCAACAAATCAACCAATATTCTACCTTCAATAATTTTTTTTCTTCAAATCGCTTTTAAGTTTGAAAATGAGTTGTTCATGTAGGGAAAGATGAAGATTATTCTATGGAAACTGCCTACTGATAATTTTTATTCACAGGTTGCAATGCATCAAAAAATGAATGGTTGAGGGTAGCAAACAAGTGTCTGAATAAAAATTGTTCAACCCATTTCTCAAGAGTGAAAAGACAAGGGGATGATACATCTGTTCTCTCAAAATTTGACTTAACAGAATAACACATAATTCTCATTTTTGTGCATATACCAAATGGGGGCTTATACCAAATGGCAGCAGTAATCCAAGGATTTACAGCATATGTCTCGTGACCCAAAGGACTTCAAACAGCTAGTAAAATCTCCATTTTTCATTTTAGTTACCTCATCATCAGACATACAATCTTCAGGTCGAGGACTTGGTGGAGTTTTCGGAGGTTCAATCACAGTCTTTTCATCATCTTGTTTTTTCTTCTTCTTTTTCCTTTTCTTAGCATTACGCCATTGCTGAGGCATGGACGAAGCTTTTGCAGGGCCAAAAAGACGGGAAAACCTCAAGACCTGTCCAGGGCGGAACTCTGGAAACAGATCTGTGACTGTTTTTCCATCATGAGTGGTCAGTTTGCCATCCTTGTTCAATAAGTCTTAGAAGATAACAAATACAATAGAATTTGAAACATCGTAAACAGTTATTTGTGAGCCTTAATAATATATTTCAGTATTAAACTAGGCTTGTGTACATGTTCTGTTAAATTCCTGTCTGTAGAAATTTCCTGTGAAAGGTAGACAAATGGAGCAGAGAACTGATTGTATATCTACCTGATCCAATCGTACCAGCAAGAGGAGTAGCAATTGAGTCCTTATTGGCACTGTCATTCACTCTGACACTCTCCCCTGATGGAGCCACAGACACCTGTGGAGTTGGTGGTGGAGGCATTGCCAATCTGTCCTGTTCGTGTTTAGACAGTGTGGAAGCCGCAGGGACAATGGTAGGTAACAGTAAGTGACCTGATTTGTTAGAATAATTATAATCAGAGAAATTTCAAGCTGGTAGTATAGCAAACAAATTTAAATATATCAATAAAGTAAAATGATAGTTCCATTATAATCAAAATAAAGTACTGATATAATTTATATAAGTTAGGTGCTCCCATCAAAACTGGCACAGTCACCTCCTACAGTATGTCACTGCTAAAACTATGTCATCAAGCAAACAAACCTTTATCATTCTGTGTCTTATCGACATTGTCAATACTATCATCATCATAGTCCTCGTCATCTAAAATTTAATCAAATCAAATTATTTTGATTCATCCCCTTAACAGTTCATTATTGTAATAAAAATTGTAACATTGTGATTGTAATATAATTAACTTCAATCCCCCTTGATAAGCCCAGGTGCTTTGAGGAGAACAACAAATAACAGATAGAGACAATAATACAAAACAAAAGTCAATGAAGGAGAATGATGTTTTGATAAGAATTCTTCACTTGGTTCGTGTGACTTACCAACTGTGCTTGTGTTCTTCTTTTGAGAGAATATGGACACAGCATGTTTGTAATATTTTTCCTCTTCTTCCTCTGCTAGCTCGGAGATATCACTGTAGTCTGTTGCGCTTGAATCCTTCTGAATCCAGCCTTCTAAAGGGGATTTACCTGTTGAATTTTTACAAATTCCAAGCAATTTGATGCAGTGATAACAGGTATTAGTTGGTGGTCAATTTGTCAGATACCACTGGAAAAGGAAAGCACTGAGCTTACCATGTTTCAATGAAGGATTCAACATTTAGAAGTGATGAATGGGATGCTAGTCCATCACAGATTACTATCCCATCTTACCAGCATCTCGTCAAGTTTACAATAATGAAATAATCATTCTAATTAATTTAGTAAGAAACAACTAAGAAATATAGCTATTCCCTTTTAAAGGATGCTAGAACAGCTCACGAAGTGAAAGATCCAAGTTGACTGGATATCTAGCAACAAGACTTAGATTATCCAGAGCCTAAAATGCAAATTATTATACCTTTTGCCTACAATGCTGTGTAATTGGAGCAGGACCCCTCCATCACCTACTCACTAAATTGATCAGATATTGAACCAAAAGACACCAAAATGTATCTTACTGGTGCTTCCCTCCCCCAGTGGACCTGATTCATGATGTGGTGAATTCCCTTCCTCTGCTATATCTTGCACTAGACTTCCTAGACCACTCAGAGAGCTCAGCTGAGAAAGATGGCGCCGTGATTCCTTACAAGAAATTTGAAGAATATATACATGAATATGAATACAACAATACAGGTCCAATATTAAACAGTGTAATTCAAAATTCAGTAAGATTTCCACACACATAATGGCAAAAACAATAGATTGTCATCAGGACTAGGGCTTTAATTTGTTTTACAGTGGTTTGGTGTTGTGCGCAAACATTTACTAACAATCCAAGCCCAGCTCAAGTCACACTGATAAATGGCCTAGCAATTATATCCTGTATTTGTTAGGCTTGATCAACAGCTGCTGTTTCTCCTCCCTCCACTCTTCTCCGCCCCCCTCCATCTTCTCAGGGTGTGGGGGGGGGGAGAGCAAACCCAGACACAAGAGAGCAGCAAAAATCAGGCATACACATTTGTAAGCTTCCTCACTTTCCACATCAGTAAATGATACACATTTAATTTCTCTTCTTCCGATTTTTTTCCTTGATTTCTTTGATTCCCTTTGTCATGTAACAGGACATAAAAGCCTACTTAAGAGCCCTGTGGCCCATCGGGCTGGCACTTAACTTAGGTTTCCGTAGCATGAAGCAGCTAGGAGTAATTCTAGCCCCCCCCCCCCCCTGGATGGGATGCTAGTCCATTGCAGGGTTACCCCCAGCATTAAATTCGCCAGTTCCCATTTAATTCTCCTGGACTTAAGGACATAAACATACGCATAATTACCCTTCCTAATTAGTTGTTTATATTCAAGCCTAACTAACCACAGAAAAAGCTTATATACTGGGAGTGAGAAAAAATTAGAACAGCTAAAACAAAGGAAAAGCTTTTCCTAATAACGAAAAAGTATATATTCTGTTTAAGAAGAAACTGAATGAAAACAACGATCAAATCAAATCCTGTTAAAATGTATAATTGTGGATTTCAAATTATTTGTTGAGTAAAAGTCTTGAGGTCATTAACATGTGAAAAAACGAAACTATCCACAATCGACTAATCAGAAGTGTAAACTACCTCATCTAATATCTCTGTGTCTTCAAGCTCGCCTTTCTCGTTGATATTTCCAAATAAAAACCCTGTTAGATTGAGAGAACCATCCTCGTCCTCCGAGTCCGCCATGTTGGCGACGGAGCGCTAAGATATATGGGAAAGCATTTAGTTTCCAGTCTCTCTGGCTCATCTGGGTGCTCAATAAAAATTTTAATTTGCTGAGACCGATATTATTCTGGACACGCTTAACCAATGTAAACAAAACTTGTCGCCAGGCCGTCGAATTAACGCAGGGCAAATATCCTTTTCAATATATTAAATGATTTTTTTGAAAAACTTTACGCTTGTAGACACTAATCTTCACTTAGCACATCAACATGAGCCGGTCTGACGGTAAATCCATTGAATGGGTGCCGTTCAAAAAAAAAAAAAAAAAAAAACAAAATCAGCAAGAGCCATACTATGGCTCTTGAAATAAGTTAATCCCGGTAGTATTCGCTATTGTAACATGATAAAGTGCAGAGATCGAACAGTCGCGACTGTAACGTACCACAAACTTTTTTTAATTTCTGGGTGGACAGAGAGGAAGTGTGGGCGAAGGCGTCATTCAAATTAAATTTAGTTTCAGAGCGGAAAGGGACCTTCAGTTTCTATGTACTATGTGGGCGAAGGTATTCCTGTAATGATAAAACTTTTCCCAAAGTTTGCTAATTAGACAAATAAAATCAGTCCTTTGATTCAGTGTCATGGTTTAGTTTATTTTGTCCCAAGTCTTACATGGGAATCCTTCAAAAAAAGAAACAGGTTTGGTTATTTTGAGCATAGAAATTGTCTGCTTTTTCGTGTGAGAGATTTTAAAAGTCACAATCACTCAAAAAGTGGAATAGCCATAATTAGCCCTTTGTTCTAAATATTTGTAGCATCAAAACGTTTTGTGAGCCACTTCGTAATACAGGAATTTGTTACGTTCTAAGATCTCCTGGGTGATCTAAATCGTAATAGCTTTGATTTCCTTTTTAGGTAAAAGTTCTGTTTTATCCGTTTAAGCAGCGTTTAACAGCTTAGATTATCAATCCCTGGCGCCACTGGACTTTCTGGGTCTAATAATTGCTGTCAGTGATAATTACATCCCCTTCTAATCTCTTAGACTACAATTTCAACAAAAATATTATTTTTCGAGGTCTCAAAATATTTTGGACAACAGCTATTCAATGATCAATTTTCATCGTAAATCAAAAACTCGATGCTTTCTCTTGTGGTCTCTTCCGCTCTCTTCAATCTGCATATCACACCTTAACTGCAAATCCTGCGATGAAAGGGCCGGAATAAAATGAAAGGTGAGCACCGGGTCGATCGATTCACGCACGCGCATCAGCTACTCTCTTCCTCTGACAAAAACCAGGCTTATGGATTTGAACTCACCGATTACCAGATAAGAAAAACGTGTTTTCTGAAAGTCTTGGCCAGCACAAAGATAGGTTAATCCGTAAACAGCAGCTAAACAGAACCCCATTCTTATAGGCTGTGGACTGTGTCAATCTGATGAGTACAAGAAAATTCCACATTAAAAATATCTTTAGGAAATACTGTGGAGGCGCGGTGGCCGCATGGTTAGTGCGCTCAACTCCGGATCGAGTGGTCTGGGTTCGAGCCCTGGCCGAGGACATCGTGTTGTGTTCTTCGGCAAGACACTTTACCTTCACAGTGCTTCTCTTTACCCAGGGTACCGGCAAAGTTCATAAGTAACCCTGCGATGGACTGGCATCCCATCCAAGGGGGAGTAGAAATACTCCTAGTCGATTCATGCTACAGAAACCGGAGTTAAGCACCGGTCTGATGGACCACTGGCTCGTAAACAGACTTTTTTTTTTATGGTAATACTAAGAAACAGGAGGAGGGGGGTAGCGGAGGTATCTTGGGAAGGTGCTGCCTTTCCCCTTCCTCTACCCCCATTCCCCCATTACCGCTTTTTTTCCTTTTTCCCTTTTGCCTTTTTTTTCTGGTTGGTTTAGTATTGTATAATTATTACATAGGCGCTTACAAATCGACAACAATCTTAAATTTATCTGTCTCTTTTTTCGCTGGGGCCACTCTCAATAAATATACAAATAGCTAGTTCTCAGTGAGAAGAGTGTGACATTTGCTTTGATTCTCATTTGCAAAATTACTCCGTCAGCCATTCGAGGACCACAGATGTCTAACACATATCATTCCACAAGTTTTCAAAAAACAAAAAAACAAAAAAAAAAAGAAAAAAAAAGAAAAACCTTGTCCAATGAAATAATAGTTGAAAAAGATATTAAACAGATGATGCTCTCGATAACCTCGGTTGTCTGCAGAATTTAACATGTCGTTTTATTTGTGTTCTTAAATATATCAATTGATTTGCATGGGAATGTTTATGAATATAAACATTTGTGAGAATTAAAGTTATTGAAATTTAAGAAGCATTCCGTGGTATATTATATTTGTTCATTTTATACAGGATGTTTTCTCAAGACAATTATGTTCTGTTGGCGGCAACTATCAGCCGCAAATAACTCAGTGTCACATCCGGAAAAGACGATTTATGGCTCACTTGCGGCGCGAAACCTGGAGAGCCTATTTGACAGTATATTAACACATCTTGTTGCTCCAGGAAATGAATTTTTAGTCACTGACAGCCTTTTCACTATAACGGTGGAGCCCTTAACGCTATTTTTTTATTTACGAGGCATGCAACATCTGATTTCATCGCTTGGAGAAAATGCAACTCATATAGCAGGTTAGTATTTGATTATCAGTAAAGTTTTCACTTCACTGAATGAAGGCGGCCTGTGCACCTCCTGGCGACAGAATGAATTTGAGATTTTGTAACAGTTTTTAATTCTTGAAAGTTTTCAGCGAAATACTTTAGGTCTGTTTGTAGCGAACTATGTTTATATTCTGCATCCTTATTTTAACAAGTATTTTGGATGGTTATTGTCGCTCTGGTGTTTTTCTATATTGCCTAACTAATGATTTTGCAGTTTCCTTATTTACCGCTAAACTTTCCTTCAAGTTAAATGAGAGCAGTTCTCAGTCGCTCAACTCTGTAATCGTAATCTAGCAGCTTTGGTATTTGGGTCATTTGACAAACCAGAATTATATTTAAGAATATATATATATATTTAATGCCGCATTTTTCCGTGTTATCCCTAAGTTTAAATGATCTACTTTTTTCAGACTTAAATGTTCAAAACACTTTTTCTTATCACTGTTCAGGAAATAAAACAGTCGCTCAGTTTTGGTAGCTATTTGAAAACGTAAGAGCTCGATTTTTTCGCTGAATGTGTTTGTGTGCTGGTTGAGTAGCGGGAGAATTTATTCTGGCTAAATCCGAATGTTTTCTCAGAAATTCTACTGAAGAACGCTTTCGATTCTGCTTGAAAGTCTAAGATAACTAACCTTTTCTCGAAGTATTTATTTTTCTCAAGAAAAGTAACAGCCCACAGTTACTTATAATGATTTAAAAGAACTTTTGTTTACAAATTTTGTGCAAGATTTGCACGGATTTCTTCCACTGGCATAGCTTTCTAAATAAAGTGTGGCAGTCTGACATCAGTGTTACTGTAATCAATTAAGAAGGATCCACGGTAAATATGTTAAACAATTTATAGTAATCGTTTGCCGGTGTTTTTTTTTTTTTTTCTTTATCGAAACATTTTACTTCAAATCGAGTCATTTTGAATTTATTTTACCGCCAGATTCCTCCAATAACAAGACCATTATCTAAATCTAAATAGACAATTTCAATTTTGTTCCAAATGTGCGTTCATCAGTCATGTCAAATTTGGGTATTATAAGATTAAAAAGTCGTTTTTTAAGCGCAACCCCACGAAGCTAATCCTAAAAGTAAGCAAGACTTACCGCTCACAACCTCAATCAAAATGACATCTTTTATCAAATTTGATTTTGAAATGTGGTGCTTGTACCGAGACAAAGTATTGCTATTAAAAACTCATAAAAGGAAAAAATCTGTACGCTGCGCCAAACTTCCTAACAACTTGATGACGATTTGAACACCTTTACTCGTGTACTCTTTATTCAGTTTGAATTTGAAAAACAATAGCTAATGAGCTCTCTAACCTGCTACTAATAAAGTGATGAAAAGCATAGAGGCTTTGATAAGCTTTTCATCCGTTCAAACGACAGTTGTCAGATCCCTTGGAATGCGTCCTTGATAGCGACAAGAGCCAACCGACAAGCCTCAACTTATCACATTCATATCGCTACCAGATTGATGACAAACCCTGTAAGTTCTCACTGCTTCATTTTTAAGCTTAATCCTTAACCCAATATCTGCGCCCTCTTAGGTCTGGTTTGGATTATTTGCTCGTTTGAAGAACATGCAACCTCGGACATTCCTTCTCAAAGACAAACATACGGAGAACATATTTATTCATGGCTTCACATGATGACCAACTCAAATGCTATCTTAACCTTAGAAGCGAGTTAAACTTCGATCTATTTGCAATTAACTCGTGAATTTCGACCGTTTTCAAGCATGTAGAAGATGTTATTTTAATTGTTATTATTTCTGACGATTATTTAACAATTAGTTCCTCTACAAATAAACAAAAAACATTCCAGAACAAATTTCACAGTTTCGTATTCCACCGCTTTCCTCGACGTTTTTATGCAAAATTATTACTTTTATCTTCGCTTTTTCCTCACTAAGAGTCTTCAAGGAAAAACGTTCAGCTTACCTCTAGAAGCAGAGAATATTTTCCAGTTACATTATTTGGTTAATTTGTCAAGACAACTCATAGAAACAGCATGAAGTACATAAAAGACAAAAATAGGCGAAATATATCTTTCCATCCATCAGGTAGGGTTTCGCAATCTGTGACATCATTGCATGTTCGCGTCGTGTCCATCCCAATTGTGAACCGCCGTGTGCCTATATATGATACCGACATTTTTGGCGTTATCAGCAGAGTTCGGAGCCTGTATTAGCCATCAGGGGCGAAACAATTGTGGTTTAATTTTAGATCATAAGCAAAGCTGTTTATTCACTGATAATTTGAAGTTTCATGGAGAGGAGAAATTTCGTATGACCGTGTAACCGCGAGGTAAGTTGGCGAAACAATTCTCCGTTAATTTGCGAGAATTAAAACCAGCTATTTAGATTCAGTTAAAGACATGATATTGTATATTTGAAGGCGGATGATGGGGATAAATTTTACAAAACGACAGAATGAAGACTGTTCTTCTTTATTTCATTATTGGATACTTTGCCCACTAAATCAAGTTGCTCACCACGATGTTAGCCTTGATCGGTTTTTTCCGTGGTGCGGATTAACTGTGATTTATTATTGAATGTTTCTACCCATGTTCCTAACTCAGACAAACAAAGAACCTCTATTGAAATTCTATTGACTTCCGAGTTCCGGCCTAAGGCTTATTTTTTTATACAGATAAAAGCGCAGCACGTCAAGAATTTCTCAGATAAACGCAATGAAAGTTTGATAAACTGATCATTACTAAGGAACACGGGCCCGATCTAAACTGATTATCTTATGAACTACAGGTAAATGATTCAGGCCGATTCAGGCTTTGGAAAACAGCCGCTTACAAAAGCCACCCAGCTATTAAGTATCACTGCGTGAACAAGATTATCGAGAAACTCGCCATTTTGCCTTTTCTTGAGGGGGCGGACCGACCATTGAGTCACACCATTCAAAAACATGGCCGCTAAGGTAGTGCCGGAAAGCGGCCTGTTTATAGAGATACTTCTTAACATTTGTGAGAAAGAACAGAAATTCCATTTCATTAATCCTTCTCTTGAACAATTTCCTTTTGCGTTCAATTCAAAGCTTGTAGGCACAACAAAGTAAAAATAGAAAAAAAAACAAAACAAAACAAAAAAAAACAAGAAAAGAAAACAAGAAAAAACTTGAAAATTCCGGACATACGTTTTATTCGACGCATTCTTTCTGCTCTCAGCTCGCCGTTGTTGAAACCAATTCGCATGAGTCCTTGATTTGTCAACACTGTTGTCAATTGGAATTCTGCGGGATGTTAAAAACAATATGCGAAGTATATCCGCGGTGAGATCTCTAGAAGTAATCTCTGTTTTTGCAATTATAGTTCAAACACCCTTGCACAAATATGAACTTGTATAGCATTACGCCCCAAATTAGAATTCCTTGTGTTTTATTTTTCTAATTAAACCCGTGTGATTTACTTCTTAACGATCTATTTCCAACAGAAACAATGTCGAATGTTTTCATTTTTGGTAAAGTAGCTTTTCTACTTTTAAAAATAGCTTAATTTTGCCTTCTGATCTGATTGTGGCTATGATGAAATTCAAACAACACACGGAGTGCCGGAAACGGTAAAGCACTGAACTTTAGCCTTACTAAATCAAACCAAATGATTACTGTGGACGAAAATAAATATTTTCAATCCTTAACCATCGATTATTTTTCCATCAACTCAACTTCATACTGTTTCAGTTTCGTGGACCTCACGGAAAGCCATTTAAACTTGAAAGAGCACTGTTTGACCTTCCTTTGTATCTACAGTGATTTCAACGCAACTAAATTTTACAAGGAAAGTGAATCAAAATACCGGTAAAATCAGTCTGAGAACTTGGACAAATATCTGGGTTTTTTTTTTCTATACACAATTTTTTTTTTTAATTGAAAACAATCTACGGTTAAGAACTTAAAGCTTTACGATTCATCATTAAAACAGATCTTTAGAGTCTTACAAATGTGTTGCTAGAGAAAAAAATGGCGCAAGCATTGCATTTTTCACTATTCCTTTGATAAAGGTTTGATATAAGAAGGGTTTTATTCTAAAACCGTTTCAGAAACTACAATTGCAGTAGTCAACTCGTTTCGAGAAAATAACATTTATCGACTGGATTCGAGTGATTTCCTTCTGAGCAGCCCGAATCCAAAATTCTGCGAGACAACAGTGAATTATCGCAAAGATCAGTAAAAACGAAGCAAGGTTGGCTTGCTTATTGGATGTTTTTCCTGTGGCTTCCTTTGCTGAGCAGGTAAAATTTCCCCCCTTATTAACGATCCCCCACTCCCTCCCACCAGCGCTCAAAGCCATGATGATGGTCCTTTTCTACGTGAAGTCACTTCCTATTGGACCTTGTCATCAAAATGCGCATGTCTGGAAAGAAGTATGGAGAGGCACTTTTTCCGTCGCTTTCTTGCAGACATCCGGGTGCAGCTCGGCCGAACCTTTCACAAAACCCTCAAAACTGGAGCCACAAATAAATCAATAATTTTGAAAACTTCAATCATATATGAGTAATGTTGACGTGCAGTGTGTATAGTGTATCCATTTTGGTTCATAAAACTAACAATAAACCCTAAGTAAAACAATATTTACGGATTCTTTTAAAGGAATGTGCGTAGATTTTCACTTTTCGGTACCACCTTCAAGAGGGATTGCAGAAAATTTGATCTAGTATACGTGATGAAACTCTTGGCTGGAACAATATTGTTGTTAAATACATGGAAATGTTATTTACCTTTCCCGTGATAAGCTTTGGTTAAATAAAAGAAAGATGGAAAAAAGTACCAAGTTCTTGAATCAAACGCACGCACAGATACGTGTGGGCCCACATCGAGTATGATATTTGGCCCGTTGGATAAAAATAACAACTTCACAAACCCAAATGTTTGTAGCGAAAGTTTGAGAAGTTCATCATTCCTTGAATAGCGATATGTTGTGTTGCAAATCGTTAGAAAACAATAAATTTCCATTGTTAAGTAACAAAGGGATTGCATCAGCGATAAGCTCGTATTTTCTGAGACCAAAGTTAAATCTTGAAGTATATCTCCATAGTAAAGAACTCTCAGTCGTCAGAGAACCCGTTTTCAGTTTCTAATGATAAAGAATGTATGCGTGTCGAAAAGAAAAACTTAGCCAGGATATACTACAGTGTGTAAAGGTCACTTATAAGAGCCTCTTCAGATCTACTGCTACAAAATTTGGTCGTCGGAATTTTTTAACAGTAAAATATCACCTGAAGTCTTATACATGCCAGAGTGTAAAACATTTTTTACATAACAAATATGTATTTAGTTTGAAAGCTGAAGAGTCACTTCACGGCTCAGTGCTGAATCGAAATTCTCCGTCTTATTTTGAACAATAAAATAGAGCGGTTAGTTAATACATTTTAAGGAGTAAGGCATTTAATTGGAGTGAAAAATGTGTTAAGGCTGCAATATCATGGTCTAATTGGCTTCGGGATATTTCATAAGTTTAGCGTGTTTCGATGTACTTAAATAGTAGCGTTTCCGCTTGTTCATTCACGAAATATCATGATATTCTTACAATCGTCCAATTTGGACGTTTCAAAGTCGAATATTACAAATGTAATTTTGAAATTTTTGCGTAGGAGTCTCTTTTCGTCACGTCGCACTCTTATCAAAAATACTTGTTATCACAGTACTAAGGCAGGATCAGTCAGTTTCCTTAAAGAGTTAATACAACCGTGATTTCAACCGTTTCGAAAATGTCGTTCTTCAGGCTCAAGAAATAGTTCCGATTTTGTCACTTACTACGACCCCGATGAAGACAAATATCAAAACCAAATTTGTTCTGTTTATCTGGCTTCTTCAACTAACTTTTTTCATTCAAGCTGAGAGGGAGTCGAAGATGTAAGAAGTTTTATAGGTTGAGGATTTGAAACATAACGGAAAGAAAACTGAACAACCTGTCATTATCCACAAAACATGTTTGGACAATTGGTCAGTTGCAAATTTTCATTGCGTTAGTATTTGAGTTCTTCAAATACGGTGCGATTATGTTGTGAAATGCCCTTAAAAGGTACTTGGTAATCAGTCTTAAAAAGGGAATTCAATAACATCACTTTACAGACGGTCGAAATTTCGCACTCAGATGCAACCCTTTTGGTCGCCGTAGCGCCGAGTAGAAAACATTCTCGTTGACTAAATTTGCAGCAAAATGCCTGTAGCTGGCGGACGTGAAGGATGCTGAGGTGCTTTTATTAGTTCCTTTGTAATGTTCGAAATCCAACATGAGGTAAACATGATTATGAGCCATGATTAATATTCTGTCGTTGTCTTTTATTATTTTTTCCCTTCTCCGGTTTACTCGCAGATCTCCAGCGTAGCTGGCTTTAGGTAGTACATATTACGTCATGTAATACGGTATTGCCCAGTCCTTTCTTTTTCGTGGCCCCTTCAATTATTCGTCTTGCGACAATTTTATAATTTTTAGTTGCCAAATGGGGACTTGCAGCCTTGCACTCTTGCACTTACAAGAAAATTCGTGGAACTGAAGATGATAAAGGAAAGACCAAACATGTTTTTACTGTACAAAATATCTTTTCTTCTTTTCTCTGGTTCGCACGCCGGTTGTACGGTTGAGACTGCTGCCGTGGTTTTTTTTTTTTTTTTCTAAAGTTCATTTGAAACTTTTCTGACATACAAAGTTAGCGGCCATCTTGAAATACGAGCTAAAAGACCATGGAAACGAGGCTTTAAGCCGATTTAGATAAACCCTGGGAACGAGAGAGAAAAAAAGACCAAGAAATTCATCGGTTCAAGTAAGTTTGCTGGTCGGTGATTTCTGTGGAGCGTAGCTGTCTCATTTTACAAGGTATTTCACTATTTTCATTTATCATTTCACCAAAACGATGTGCCACTGTGTTGTGGAAATTCTTATCCGGCCTGTTTCAGAAATTTATTTGCAAATCCGTTAGTTTCCGGCAGCCTCTTCGCCTGTGTACCGCATGCATCTATTAAACAGTATAAACCATCTGTTCATTTGAATCATCTACCTTGTTTTTTTTGGACGGATGTTGATTTTCCAAGATTTCGTTAATAAAGGTTAACGGCAAAAAGCGTGCAAACTGTCATGAGGAAACTAACGTTAATACATCACAGTTATCGCTTAGCCGATCAGCAACTAGCCACGATAAAATTGGTAAGAGACCGGCTTTTTCCCCTTTTTTGGCTCTTGAAAGACCGAAACTGTTGCCAGATCTTGCAGATCTCATGCAAGGGCTATTCACCCATTGAAATATATGTGAGATAGACAGAAAACCTTTTCCGTGCCTCTATCTTTACGTTGCTAAGAAGCGTGGTGGGATATTGTATTCATCAGCCATATACAGACAAAGATTTCGGCGCAAAAAATTTCCACTGGATTCCGAATGTGACCTTTGTCTGTGTTCCAGAAGACAAATTGTTCACATACCTATAGCTGAGGTCCCTCGATGACAGCAAAAACGAGAGTGAAAAGTGTTGCCTTGAAAGATCCATCCAGTTGTACTGACTTTTCATTGAGATACGGCTAACAGATTTCGGAAGTGAACGCGAATCAGTGAATTATCTCAAGGCAAATATACTGGCGACAGACTGTTAATATTACATGACAGCTTATTATACTGGATGTATACAGCTGTCTGTTTTATTTAAATTGTAGACAACATGATTACCCTATAAATAAAAAGTCAAGGGTATTCGTTTCCGTAAACTTGTTTGTTGACAATCAATGATAGGCGGTCGGTGTATGATTTGCTTTTGACTAACTTTACCTGATAAAGAGAAAAATCATTCCGACAAAGAAAAAAAACTTCTGAACTAAATATCTTGTCTTCCCAATGATGGCCTCCTAACCATCGACAATATACCTATGTTGCATAAAAAGTGACATTCTTTTTTCACTAGCCCATGGAAGAGTTCCAAGAATAAAGGTCTGTCTGGTGAAGCACAATACTCGAGCTTCTTTCGGCCAGAATGTCTCCTCGATTAAATTTTCAGGTTAATTTTTTCGATTATCAATTGTTGTTTAGATTACAGAAGTACATATTTTTAATTGTCAGGAAGATTGATCAGTTTTGTAATTGTGTCCAATCGAGTTGTTGAACTCCTATCTGTAACCAAATTGTCTGAGAATTCGAGGTATGTTGTCTTTAGCGCTAGCAGCATTCGCCTAACCGTCGTGAACTCAGTCGCCGCTTAACCAACATTAAGCAAATGATTAACTTAGCAATATGTCCTCGTATCATGCGAACTTACTCAATGGACATTTTCTGTTACAAGAGTCTAGGTTAACTTCACTCGGCAACGGAAACGCGACAGCCGTGTAAACTCCCGTGCATCGTTTTAGTCGCGAGATATCATAACTGCGTGATTAATTACGCGTCCTAAGTAAACCGCAGTGAGTATACTAGACAACTTGTTGGTGTATTTTGCATCATTTTCAGTCCTGTTGGTATATATCAGGTTTTTGGACATTATAAGGAGAGTCTTTGTGCTCAGTTCAGGTATGTGCAAGTATTTTATCTTAATTTTTGCCTCGGATTCCACATTCAATTTATGCCAATTTGGTTTTCGTGAACTTTCCAAAACGGAAAACTTTCTCAGGCACTAAGCGCACGTGATAAATTAAGAAAAAATGTATCGTAATATTATATTACTGATTGATCATGTTTCTGCGTAATAATCACGCACCATTAAGAAATAATCTGTTCATGGAAGGTAAGCGAAAACTTTGCTCAGTTTGTTCAGTTATGGTTGTCGAAAGTTTTCAGTTTCTCACGGATAATTTTTTAAATTCATTTAGTCTGAAATGTTTCGGCTGACTTCGCGGTACCACTTAGCTCTAAATAACTCTCCAAGTGGGCAAAAAAAAAAAACGACGAAGGAAAAGTTTTACTTTGCGTATTTTACGATATTTCGTCGCCCTCTACGCGTGCGCAGCCAAACTTTTTACTCTTTCAATGAGAAATGTATGATTTACGGCGGAGAACTCAGCCAAAGTGGAATCAACGCTATTGAAGTTTTCGTTAAAACGTGTTTTGTAAATCAAGCGTGTCTTTTGTTAATGCTTTTTTAAAATATCTTGACATGTAGTTGAAGAGGTCACGTTTATCTTGTGTTAATCCGGGATTGTTTCTTCAAGGTATCGTCTTACGATAAAAAGATGGGATTTGGACAATATGCATTTGTTTCTCACGTGAACGGCACGTGGCTTCAATGAGAAAGCTTCGCTAGTTTTTCATCAACTTGGGAGAGGAGGGGAATTTTTACCGTTTCCCAAACACCTTTTCCTTCTCCCTTTTGGGTGCTAAACCTTTTGAGATGCGGGCTTTAGGATCGGAAATCCTGAGAAACAAAGTAATTCTCAGTTCTATGCGTTTAGCTCCTTTTTTATATCGTTCTTCAAACTAAGTACAAAAGACGCATACATACTTGATAGTTTGAACTATCAACGTTTATAATTAAGAGTCGATGTCAGCACTGAAAGACAAACAAGCACCGGTTGGGGAACAATCAACGTTCTTGAGCAAACAAAAGAACCGAATTATTGTAACGTGAACTAAACCATCAATATTCGCTCAGTTCATTGTTTTCACAGGAATTATCAATCATTGAGAAAAAGGCGCTTCCATCGCACACTCCAATCAGCTTCAAAGCTGGTAAAGAAATTTTGAATCAACAGGTAATAAATTTGACGCAAACGGGAAAAAATTTCCAGTCTCTTAACATTCCTTTTCAATGGCGGGCATCCTGTTTATTTTCCAACCTAAAAAGGGCAACTCCAAAGTCCGATTATCGGAAAACAGTATTTAATTGCGCAATGTATCTTGCAAACAACTACTAATACGATTTGTACCTTATTTCTGACGTCAGTTGAACTCTTGCCTCCCTAACATGATTCTTAGCACAATATAACAATGCATGAAGCTATATAGTTACTTGTGGTATGCGCATATTACCTCTGGTGTTGAATAAAAATGTCCAAGGACTCATTCAACATATATTTTTTTCGAAAAAATCCCCTCGTTATGGGTCAATTGTTTGAAAGGTATAGGTCGAGCATAACTCAAGTATGTCATTCTTGTCTCAAGTTGGGGAGAAAAAACAAGATTATGCCGATAGTATGTGTGAAAATTTCACTTTTATCAAATTTCAAAGTTTATATTAACGAAGTTAGTTTTCTTGACGAGCTTTAAATATGGCCACAGAGATTGAAAAATATTTTTTGTGAGGCTCTGATCACGCTAAAGTGTGATATTTTATCAAGAATCGTTCAATTTCTGTTCGTGACTTTCTTGAGCAGTCCTTCAATAAAGCAGTTTCCGTCAGTTAATTGCCCTAAGCGAGCAGATTGATTGAGAATTTTCATGAGTACACGGCACATCATCCGCTGCGAGGTTAAAACCACAGGAGGGAAAAATTAATCAATCGGATTTACCATCTAGACGTCCATTTCTCGCCAATTAGATAGCTCGTTTCTCCTTCTTTGAAAATAATTCTTTCGATTAGCTGTGATAACTTAACCCTCCAAGTACTCGCTTCAGAGCTAGTTTCTATAAAGTGCTTTCGAACAGAAATATTTGCCCGTCCGCAAAGCTGGCGCATGCAGAGAACAAATCGCCTCGAGGTCGCTGGCATTGTCTAAGTCCTGGTCAGTGGTCTAGGCAAACATAAACATCGTACGTTAAACATCTCGTTGGAAGTAAATGTTTTTGTATCTTCGTTGGCCTCCGGCGACTAGAGGTCATAGCACATAATATGTCTTACATTACGCCGAGAATCCAATCTTTCAATTTTTGTGACAATGGATTTGTTTGCACCAACTGTTTTTTTTATTCGCGAGACATAAATTGATAGGCACTCAAGTTGTCATCCGTCCCCTGGGACACGACACAACACGACACAACCGATATGTCCTCAGATAATGCTCACTATTTAGTTCCGGAAAGGCGCGTTCATGAGCAATTAGGCGCAGGGAAATTAACTGACAAGCAAATTTATTCAGTGAAGTTCAATAAATATACTAACAAGGCTTGAATTCCACATTTTCCCCTTTAGAAATAAGTTTATTTACTTGTAACAAGTAAGGAATTTAGATAATTTATTTATTGGTCACGTGCCCTAGCGTGCGCCCTCCCACTTGTGTTGTTCGGTTGTTACGCGTCAGTGATGATTGACAGCTTCTTACTCATCGGTGACTTTAGTTGCTCTCATAAATTTTGTCCAATGTTAAAGTGGAAAGCAAGTCTTTCTACTAATATTTGCCTTAAATCGCGGGTTTTATCATTCTCTGGGTCGACAGGAAGTGCCAAAGATATCGTTGTTTGAATCTATGCTGTGAAATCGCTAGAAATAGCCAATACTTTGGTAAAGATAACGTACAGACTAAAATGCTGAACAACTTGTGGAGAAGCTTCAGTATTTCGTGAAATGTAACGCAGTGCATATCAGCTAACGGTTTCTGTGTTAATCATTCTACTGTAGTGACTTCAGACTTTGAGGCGATGGAAGCTCTCAACTTTGGCTCTGTTCTTGGAGTATCATTATCATGACAAGCAAGAAGCTCACGGAATTGTCTTATACAACAAATTATGGTTAACAAAACCTTCGTCGGGAAACCGAAAGTCAGAATTCGAACGCTACCATGGACGTTTGTGTGTTGTTGTTTGGTAATCATACCAGCTTCAGCTCAACAATACGTATTTCACGTTCAAGAAGAATTAGCACCTGGAGCTCCTGTTGGGACCATTAAAACTTTAACAGGAGCAACATATTCAATTGAAGGAAATCCATCAAGGTTTACGCTTAATTCTCGAACCGGTGCAATAACTACGGCATCGCGTATCGATCGAGAGACTTTGAGCACAAATCCGATTACTTTGCAAGTTCGTTCGTCGTCCTCGTCAACGCTTATCGACGTGCTTGTGCATGTGGACGATATCAATGACAATTCACCAGAGTTTTCTGCATCCATTTATGCGGTAAATATTTGGGAAAATGTTATGGTTGGAACCAAGTCTTCGTTAGAATCAGCGACTGACAAGGACGCTGGCCAAAATGGTACTTTAGACTATGCTATTGTGTCTGGCAACGAAGCTGGGAAATTTAAACTCGGTAGAAATTATACTGAATGCAATGACTCTCTGTTGTGTATTATTACTCAGGGACAACTTGATCGCGAGGATGTAGCATTTTACGAGTTGAACATCTCTGCAAGCGATCGTGGAAAACCTTCGCTGCATGCTTATTGTTTGTTAAATATTACAATTTTGGATTTAAACGATAACAAGCCGGTGTTTACAAGTAACTTGTACAATGCTTCCTTGAATGAAAACACTCCAGCTGGGGTGGATATTTTATCTGTGACTGCAACAGATTTGGATCAGGGCTTAAATGGTGAAATAATTTATTATTTCGCGAACGACATAGACAGTCTGAACAATGATGCAAGCATGTTCGAATTAAATGCTACCACAGGAGTCATTAGGACACTAAACCCTCTAGACTACGAACTTAAAAAGTCTTACATCTTTGAAGTTTTCGCCAGAGACAAACCTGAAGAAGGACAGGGGAATGTAAACAAAACAACAGTACACATAGTTATACAAGATGTCAACGAAAACGAACCAAAAATACAAACTATTTATACAATTCCGGCTAAAGTTTCTGAGGCGTCCAAGAGTGGCACAGTAATAGCAACAGTCATTGTGAACGATCTTGATAATCCTTCCAGTCCAAATGGCCAAATTGAGATGTCTCTTTCAAACACAAATGGAAGTTTTGAGTTAATCTTGGTCACATATCAAGCACGCATAGGCTTTATGTACAGACTTCAGACCAAGGGTGCTTTAGATCGTGAAATGTTTGCAGCTTACAACATCACAGTGACTGCCAAAGATAAAGGGAAACCTGTTCTTTCTACATCTGCTCATGTGTTGGTGTCAGTTGTTGATGTAAATGATGAAGTACCAACATTTCCCAAGTTGAATTATCAAGCATCAGTCAGTGAAATTGCACAGAATGGAAGTACAGTTTACTCTGTTCAAGCCTTGGATTCTGATGGAGGATCTAATGGTCAGATTTCTTACTCAATTTTAAGTGGTAATTCCTTGAATTGGTTTCAAATTGACTCATTCTCGGGTCTCATCACCACTGTGGCACCTCTAGATAGAGAAGTTTCCAAGCAGATTTCCCTGACTGTGCTTGCCAAGGACAGTGGATCACCGCCTCTCAATAGCAGCACTGTGGTAACAGTAACAATTAAGGATGTGAATGATAACAGGCCCACATTTTCTAAGAATGCTTACTTTGAAACATTAGCTGAGAATTTGAGTCCAGGAACAGTTGTGATGACACTGAATGCGACAGATAATGATGGGGGTGATAATGGCAATGTGACATACAAAATTGATTCTGCGCCTCAACAAGTATTGAATACCTTCAGCCTGGATCCTCTCAGTGGTGTCCTTACTACCAAAGTTATTCTTGATCGGGAGACAAGGAGCTCTTACATGATCCCAGTGAAGGCTTCTGATCATGGAAATCCCAGGCTGTCATCATCAACTTTAGTGCAGTTGAATGTTGGTGATGTTAATGATAATCGTCCAGTATTTTACCCTGTTACTTACGTGGAAAGTGTGTTGGCAACTGCACAGCCCACAGTTATCACCCAGGTGACGGCAACGGATGCTGATGATGGCACAAATGCACAGATTATCTACGCAATCGCAGCTAGAAATAATGGTAATTTCTCCATCAATAGCTCTACAGGGGAGATCGTATCATTGCCACCTCTCACTGAAGGTTTTTACAAGCTGAACATCACTGCCCGTGACTTGGGTGGTCTTTATGCGAAAACTTCAGCTGCTGTTGAGATCACTGTGCAAGGAAAATCTGATGACCCTCTAAAATTTGAACACAATATCTACAACTTTTCAGTACATGAGAATGTACCTTCTGGGACATATGTTGGACAGGTTGCTGCTACTACTAAAAACAACAACAACAACAACAACAGCATTCAGTATGAGATTATTTCTGGTGATCCGCAACACCATTTTACTGTGGATGGTTCTGGTGGAGTTATTATGGTCAATGGACTTTTGGACAGAGAAAAGAAAGCAAACTATTTCTTGAGTGTGACAGCAAAAGCACATCCCTCATCAGCAACCACATCTGTGAAGATAGATGTTCTGGACAGAAATGACAACCAGCCAGTATTCAAGTCTCCTAGTGCTCAAGTGACCATTGATGCTAACTGGTCAGTAAACACAAAAATTTATGTGACATCTGCCACTGATGAGGATGCTGGTCTGAATGGATTGGTTCATTATCAGTTGACTGCAGATGGTAATGGCCTCTTCAAGGTGAATGCGACATCAGGAGCAGTTTCTCTGTCCAGGAAGATAACCAACATTGATGATTCTGAATATGTGGTGCGAGTGATTGCATCTGATGAAGGAGCTCCTCCGCTTCACTCTTCCTTCATGTTAACTGTCAATATTATCACTTATCATCCACCACAATTTTTGTTTTCATCCCTTGTGGCAGATATCCCTAGGGATTTACCTGTGGGAAAGCATTTTCTTCTTGTTGTTGCTGTTGATCCAGATCCTGGTGTCAATGGAGCACTAACCTATGCAATTGATTCAACAGGCAATGAAGAAGGACTGTTTGGAATTTCTTCTCATGGTGCACTCTTTGTAAATAAACCACTCAGCAAAGCAAATGGCACATCTACCATTTCTGTTTCGGCAACTGATATGGGAACCCCACCTCTCAAAGCTTTCATCACAGTGACTATCAATGTGAAGAGCTCTATTCAGTATCAAGCCGTATTTGCTAATGACACTTTTGAATTTTTTATTCTGGAAAACCAACTTCCTGGCACCACTGTTGGCCACCTACTTCTAAGTGACAGTGGTTCTTTGAAAACCAAGAAAATAACTTATTCTCTTGTTGAGGCTCATGATGATTTTGTGGTGGACTCTGATACAGGACGAATCTTCACCAGAGGAATGTTTGACCGTGAACAACTAGTTGCTCACAGTGGAAAGAATGCGTTGACTTTTCTAGTCAAGGCAGAATGCAGTGACACATCACTGAAGCAAGATTCTGCAGTAGTGATTGTGACTGTTAAAGATCAGAATGACAATCCTCCAGAGTTTCGCCGTTCATTGGCTTTTATCACAGTCCAGGAGTTTTCTGGATTAGGAGTTGTTTACAGAGTGATAGCTTCCGACCCTGATGAAGGAGATAATGCCAAGTTTAATTTCTCTATCGTTGGTGAACCAAAATCTGAAGTGTTCTGGATTGACCCACTCAGTGGAAATCTATTCCTTAACAGCTCACTTGACAGAGAAAACATGGATCATTATAGTCTAACTGTGCAGGCCACAGATATTGCAGATGCCTCCTTGTTCTCTCAAAAGCGCCTAGAAGTTATTGTCGGAGATGCCAATGACAACAAGCCCAACTTTACAAAGGAGTTTGCCACAGTGAATGTTTCTGAGAGTTTGCCTGTATCTTCCCAAATAGCTGTTGTCCAGGCAACAGACAGAGACGAAGGGGTCAACTCTGAGATTGCATATGCCATCTCTTCTGGGAATTTAGAGGCTGTCTTTGATATCAACCACTTGACTGGGGAGGTGTTTCTCATCAAGTCTCTGAACTTTGAAAGAACAAGGAGTTACACTCTGAACATTACTGCTGATGATCGTGGGAATCCACCTCAGTCTGCAGTGTTGCAACTCACAGTCAATGTCCTCAATGAAAATGATGCTCCTGTGTTTGTTGATGAACTTAATACTATCAGTGTTCAAGAAGATTGCATCGTTGGGAAGACGATTGGACAGTGCTCAGCAACTGACGAGGACAGTGGAGAAAGTGGCCGCATAATATTTAGCATTGATAGGCAAACACCTCTGGAAGAAATGGCATTCGAGATAAACCCAACTACCTGTGTGATTACCACAAAACGAGAACTTGACCGTGAACACACCAGCCTCTACAAACTTGTAATTAGGGCACTAGATAATGCAAATTCCCCAATGCAGCTCTCAGCAACAAAAGAGATCATTGTTGTTGTAAAGGATGTGAATGACAACAGTCCCAGATTTGTAACTGCACCAGCTGTTGTAGTGAATGGTCATGAAACTCCTAATGATGTTATAGCAACTCTTTCAGCCTATGATAAGGATGCTGGAACTAATGGTTTGGTCACCTACAACATGAATAATGACAACATTTTCCAATTGAATGCCACCACAGGACAGTTATCCTTGAAATCAAGGTTACTTTCTCAGAACTTACCATTGAATTTTACAGTATCAGCCACAGATGGTGGATCACCTCCCCATAGTACAAATGCTTTAATAACAGTGTTCAAGAAAGGAGGGGTAAACAACAAAATCGCCTTCAGCCAGGCAGTCTACAGAAGCTCTGTGTTTGAAAATATCACCAATGGGACATCTGTGACTAAAGTTCAAGCAGCTGTTCGTGGACCACACATCAAGTACTATATCACCTCTGACTCCAGCAATGGTTCATTTATCTTAGATCCTGATAGTGGAGGAATCACAACTGCCTTTGAGCTTGATCGCGAGAGTTTCTCCACCTCGACTTTTGTGCTGACTGTATATGCAGTTGATTCTACGGGACCAAGTCCAAAGACCGGAAATGCAACAGTTGAAATTTCTCTTAAAGGTATCAATGACAACAGCCCTGTATTTGAGTCAAATGTCTATAGATCAAGCGTGAGGGAATACTCATCACCAGGTGTCAGTGTTACTACTGTTTCTGCAGTCGACAAGGATGTTGGATCAAATGCCCAGGTTACTTATTCCATCGTAAGCGGTAATGATGCGAATGTTTTTCTAATAAATGGCTCAACTGGTGTAATAACTGCTGTTGAAATACTGAACCAGAGTTCTAAATCTGTCTACAAGTTAACTGTGAATGCAACAGATGGTGGATCTCCCAAACGGTTCTCAAGCTGTAGTGTTGTAGTGACAGTGCTTCCTGCTAACAACTATGCACCAAAGTTTCCCCGTCCTTTCTATTCATTCAATGTCCAGGAAGAGACAGCGGTCGGCGTTATATTTGGGACAGTCACTGCCTCAGACCGTGACAGTGGATCAAATGGGAGAATTAGGTACAGCTTAACAGGCAACCACAAGGAAGTCTTCTCAGTGGACCCAATCAGTGGAAAATTAAAGGTTGCAAAATGGCTCGATAGAGAGGAAGTTGAAATCTACATCTTGAACGTATCAGCAAGTGATCAGAGTGACCCATCTTTGTTTGCTTACACTGAGGTTTATGTGAATGTTTTGGACAAAAATGACAATGCTCCCCAATTTAATCCAAGTTCATACTCAATGAGTGTCTCAGAAGGTAGTGGAATTCACAGCAATATTGTGACTGTCACAGCTACTGATAAAGACTTTGGCTCCAATGCTCTTCTTACTTACGCAATACTTTCAGGAGATGATGACCGCACCTTCTCTATTCATCCTAATGGCACTATTTACAACCTTAAAGAATTCGACCGTGAAAAAAAGAGCTCTTACTTTCTCACCATCATGGCCAGAGACAAAGCAGTTCCAATTTCAGTACAACTTTCCAGCACAGCTACTGTCACGGTGGATGTAGGTGATATCAACGATAACAAGCCATACTTTATATCCAGTAATATCACTCATGTATCTGAGCATGCTTCAACGGGTGATGTTGTCACAACTGTTCTCGTAGTCGATCTGGACGCTGGAAGTAATAGCGAGGTTAGCTTTAGTCTCGCTAACGATGCTCTGGTTCCCTTTACCATAGGTACGAGTGATGGTGTGCTGCGAGTTGCTGGAATATTGGATCGCGAAATTCAAGAGGAGTACGTGGTAAAAGTGGTAGCAATCGACAGGGGTGTTCCAGCAAAGCACGCAGAATTTGAGATGACTGTGATAATTGATGACTACAATGACCATGTACCGGTATTTAAGCCTAGTCCACCTGAGGTGCAAGTTTACGAGAATATTTCCATTGGAAGTGAAGTTGCCCGCTTTTCAGCCACAGATAATGACAAAGGAAGCAATGCAGAGGTGACCTTTGCTGTCGTTGCAGGACGTGGAGATGGAACTTTTGAGATAAATCCCAGAAATGGGATCCTCCGCACCATTCGGTCCCTGGACAGAGAGACCACACCCAATTACACCGTTGTTGTTCGAGCATCTGACCTAGGAGTACCGTCCATGTTTGCAGACAGAGATTTGGCGATTATCTTACGAGACGTTAATGACGACACGCCCACCTTTTTTGAATCTTCTTACACGAGACATGTTGCTGAAAACCAGCTACAAGCCAGTGTAATCACTTTGAGGGCTGTGGACAATGACGAAGGTAGAGATGGCAGTGTAACGTACAGTATCATCCAAGGTAATGAACGTGGTGCTTTTACTGTCAACAGCAACACTGGCCAAGTAGGACTCAGGATTTCTTTGGATAGAGAAGAACAGGAAGAGTATAGACTGAGAGTCCAAGCTAAAGACGGAGGGTCTCCTCCTCGGACAGCAGAAACTGAACTCATTGTGAAAGTGGATGACAAAAATGACAATTCCCCCGTGTTTAGTCCAGACAGATTGAGAGCTTCAGTAAAAGAAAATGCTCCCGCAGGCACAAGTGTGTTCCAAGTAACTGCAACGGATGCTGATACGGGAACCAACGGAAAAATCACATACTCCCTGTCCAAAAGTTTCGAGTGGTTTGAAATTGACCGTGATACTGGGGAAATAACAATCAAACCCAGCGCTCGCCTCAATCGTGAACTTAACTCAGAGTTTGAGCTGGAATTGCTCGCCACTGATGGAGGAATTTTTAGTCGAGAAGGGAAAGCGTGGTTACTTCTAACTGTTGAAGATGAGAACGACAATGATCCAATATTTGATTCTGCTCTGTACACAGCTACAGTAGCACCAGCAGCCCCTCCAGGTACTTTTGTCCTGATGGTGTCAGCTACGGATCAAGATATAGGCCCTAACGCTGAAACAGAATACACGATCACGAGTGGACTTTCTCCCGTCTTCAGTCTCGCACACAATACAGGTATTGTTTCAGTGGCTCAGAACGTTCCCCAAAGCCCCTCGTCATATACCTTTACTGTAAAAGCTACTAATGTAAATGCTCCCCAACGCTCTGCTTCTACAAAAGTGCAAATTGATGTGGCGACGGGAACAATACCTGTATTCCAACATCCGGACCAGACAATCACAGCCTCTGAGCATGCACCAGTGGGCGCTAAATTGGTAACTGTAAATGCCACTGGTCACATAATGTATTTTATCGCCGCGGGAAACATCGGAGATGTTTTTGAAGTGGGCAAGCTTGGTGGAGACGTAACTATTAGGTCGCCTTTGGATTATGAGGCACGCACAAACTACACTTTGATCGTCGGCGCGAAGGCAGCTGGCAGCCAACCACTGTCAGGTTTTGTGACAATTCACGTAAATATCGCAGACGAAAATGACAACCTTCCCGTGTTCAGTAAGAACATTTATCGAGCTGACATTCGCGAGGAACTTCCAATAAATACAACAGTTCTGTGGGTGGCAGCCTCCGATGCAGATTCCTTGACTTATGGCAAGGTGGAATATAAATTGGTCCCGGGTAACATGCAGGCTAGTTCAGCTTTTACAATTTCTGCCAAGAACGGGCGTATCTCCACTAAAATCCAATTCGACCGCGAAAATATCTCTTCATACACTTTTATGGTTCGCGCTGAAGATGTGGCAAACAAATCCATGGCAAGCGAAGCTGCTGTTATAGTCAACGTACTAGATATCAATGACAACATCCCTGTTTTCGAGGATCCTCTGACTGCAGCCGTGTACGAGAACGCTACTGTAGGAAGCTTGGTGGCATCGCTGAAGGCTGACGATGCCGACACTACCCAGGTCAGCACTCGTTTGAAGTTTGAATTCACTTCCGGTGGAAATCCAGACAATGCTTTTGTTCTTGACACATACAGTGGTAGGTTGACTCTGGGTAAGGATTTAGATCGAGAGAAACAATCGCACCACACTCTACAAGTCAAAGTGAGTGACTCACAATATACAACTACGTCCAACTTTACTGTGATTGTTTTAGATGTCAATGACAACCCTCCAAAATTCATCTCAGATCCTATGACACACCAAATCCGCGAAAAGTTTCCTGTTGGAGCACCTGCTATGAACGTAAGTGCAACTGATGACGACTTCGGTACTAATGCCGAGATTTTGTACTCGATTCTTCCGTCACCTGCAAGCGATGCATTCACAATTGACCGCCAGACGGGTGTTCTTCGCCTTTACAGAGAATTGTTGTATCACAAGCCAAGTGCTACTGGAAACAAGAACTTCTATAATTTGACAGTGAAAGCATGGAATCCGTATACGCCATTCCACGAGAAGACGGTTGACGTTGTGATCGAGGTGACCGATATCAATGATCATGCCCCGATGTTCAAGTCTTCATCGTTTGAGTTCTTCGCTGTTGTTAGTTCAACAGCCGGTGAGACGGTTGGTCGGGTAGAAGCGGTCGATGATTGGGATGACGGCGCAAATGCGCTAGTACGATACAAGGCAGTCAGTGGAAACGGTTCATCATTGTTCAACATAGATGCAGATAGTGGAAATGTTACCGTGGGTAGAACTTTAAACGTCCTAGGTTTGTACATCATAATGGTCAAAGCTCAAGACTCAGGGGTGCCAGTAAAGGAAAGCGTTACCAACGTCTACGTGGAAGTTGTCGAAGTCAATAGCTTCCCTCCAGAGTTCCCAAGTGGCCAGATTGTTCTTTCCATATCCGAAACAAAGGCTGTTGGAGATGAAGTTGTCAAAGTTGAAGCCAAAGATAAGGATACTGGTACGAACGGCCAAGTATCCTATCACATCGAGAGCAGCACTCCGCCGGGATTCTTTGGAATTGGTCGTAACAACGGATCAATTTTTGTGATAAAGCCGCTGGATTATGAAGTTCACAAAACATTTTTACTTTCGGTTGTGGCTACTGACGGAGGGAAAATTGCCCGCACGGACACACAGACTGTTCGAATAACACTCATAGACTTAAATGATAACCGACCAGTCTTTACAAGTAAAGAATACCACGGTTATATACCCGAGAATACAGCTCCTGGGAAGCTGATAATTGCCGTGACGGCACAAGATCCTGATACAGGTAACGCCGGGAAAGTTGAGTATAGCATCTCTAACACTGCACTACGGAGCTCATTTGAAATCAATTCAGGAAGTGGGGAAATAAAGAGCAAGGTTACCTTCGACTATGAAGTGCAACGGCTGTACGAATTGACCATCATGGCCAAAGATACGGGTACGCCCCCTTTGATCTCACAACCAATGGCCAAAGTTTTCATACACGTCACTAGTGTCAATGAATTCACCCCCAAGTTTAACAAGTCGTTGTTCACGGCTTCTGTGGCCGAGAACGCACCGGTCGGGCAGTCTGTGACACGGATATACGCCACTGACCAAGACAAAGGACCTGACGGTGAAATTGTGTTTCTGCTGGTTGGTGAAAGTAAAGACCTGGGATTCAAGCTCGATAGAACCACAGGGGTTTTGAGTGTCTCAGGAGGCCTGGACAGCGAGAAAGCTGGTTTAGTAACACTTCGGATTCTCGCCAAGAACACGTTACAAACGAGCGTGACACCTAATACTAGCGATCTGGCAACTGTAATCGTGACTGTTACGGATGCCAATGATGCTCCCCGGTTTCTGAAAAATATGTATAACGCCCTAGTGAAGGAAGAACAAACTGCTGGTCAACTTGTTACCAACGTCACAGCTGTGGATGATGATATAGTGAAGCAACCAACAAGAATTACCTATGGAATTGTGGCTGGTAATACTGGAAATACCTTTAAAATCGATAAAACCACTGGTGTGATAACGACAGCAAGGAAATTAGACAGAGAAAGTATTGCACACTACCGTTTGACTGTAAGTGCTACAGACCAAGGGCGGCCGCCTATGTCAGGTAACGCCACTGTCAATGTTAAGGTTGATGACATCAACGATAATGCACCTCATTTATTTTCAAATTGCACGGGCATGATCGAGGAAAACCAACCCGCTGGTACCACAGTGGTGACCCTGCAGGCTCATGATCGAGATATTGCTCCAAATCGAGGACCATACACCTTTGCCATCATTGGCGCTGACAGTGGAAAGTTCCAAGTGAGTAGCAGTAGTGGTGAGATCACAACCAGAGCTAAGCTGGACCGAGAAGCGATCTCTTTCTACAATTTGTCGATCAGGATCACGGACAATGGTAATCCGAAGCTCCAGGCTGTGTCACATTGTCAGATGCTTGTTCAGGATGTGAACGACAATCCACCCCAGGCAACCTCGCGTGTGGTGCACGTGAACGGCCTTAACAGCTTTGCATCTGGGCCAGTAGCCAACGTCCCACCTAATGACCCGGATGTTGACGACAGACTGACCTGTCAGATCATCCGAGATGGCGAAGGATTGTTTAGATTCACTCCGGGAAGCTGTATATTGAGCACAAACAAGAGGTACGGCGGTAGTGCTGAACTGGACATAGTGGTGAACGGATCTGACGGAAGATCTGCTGTAGAATACAATATTAAAGTGCGTTTTGTCGCCTACAACTCGTTAACCATCAACAGCAGTGTAACGTTGCGAGTGATGAATACATCTCCTGAGACTTTCCTTGCACGGTCCTATCAGAAGTTTTTAGATGCCATCAACCGCATTCTTCCGGCTGGCCATGTGTCTCAGCTTTTCAGTATAAAGTCAATTGCAGGCGGTTTCGTCGATTTGTCGATCGCTGTGAAAAAGGCAACTTCCGACCAGCACATGGTGCGAGAGACTCTATCTGACCTGCTGAGCCAAAACAAAGCTGATCTGGAGAGAAATGGTAACGTGCAAATCCAACAGGTCGACTACACACCCTGCACTGCTTACAGCCCCTGTCAAAATGGCGGCGAGTGCACAAGTTATATTCAAACTCAAGGAACAACGAGCACATTAAACTCAGTGCCTGTAGTGTTCTTGTCTGTGGATTATGATTGGCGCTTCATTTGCGTGTGCAAACCGGGTTACAGAGGAGAGAGGTGTGAGATCAGCGAGAAAGGCTGCAGCTCTAAACCGTGCAAGAATGGCGCTACCTGCTTGGATAGAGATCACTCTTACAAATGCCTGTGCCCAGCTGGATTTAACGGACCCACCTGCGCTAGTGACATCGATGAGTGTGCCAATAAACCGTGCAAGAACGACGGAAAGTGCGAAAACCTGGCGGGAAGTTACCAGTGCCATTGTAAGCCTGGTTACTTGGGGAAGAACTGCTCGTCTGGGTTCGATTTCTGTCGAGTGTCTTCGCCTTCTAGTTGGGCCCCGCCCAAGTGCACCTGCACCTCTGGGAAAGCTTGTCAATGCTCCTGTATCGGCTTTCAATCTGTGTCCTATCTAAAACTGCCAACCCTGAGCAGCCAACAGCAAGGAAAGTTTAATAACATCACGTTCGAGTTTTCTACCACCAAGAGCGAAGGGCTGTTACTTTACAACTCGGACGGGAAGTACAGCGTGGATTCTGATTTCATCGCCATACAGATCGTCGGTGGTAAGATACAGATGTCGTTTAATCTCGGATATTCCAGGAGGGCAGTTGTTGTGGAAACTGGTCAGTCTGTGAGCGACGGACAATGGCACACACTCACGGTTATAAGAAATAGGAAGGTATGTGCTATTGCTCGAGTGATCGAAATATATTCTCTCTTTACCACACTAATACTTTGCAGAGAGGACAGGTGATGAGAATAAACTAAATAATCAACCAAGACTGTACAGCGTATGGCTGATGAAATCAAAGTCTCAAAACTAACTCTATAGTTAATATGCGGCGATTAGTTAATATGCGAAAGTCTGGGATCTGCGAACTCCCACTGTTGAACTTTTTTTAAGAAGCGCGAGAGATTCGTGATTCTACAGGAGACGAAGAACACTCTTCGCTCGTTCTCTTTGTGTTTCAGTCATATAGAACTTATTAAAACCGACATTTGTTTAAACCATGTAGGTTGGTGAAGTGACTGTTGATTCGTCCCGTACAGTGTCCATGGTTTCCGAAGGACAGCTAGAGTAAGTATTTTTAAAAGAACACTTGCTTAGAAAGAAATTATTGGACTATGCGGTGCGATTTGAGTCAATCTTTGAGGATATTTTGCGCTTCAAGCGAATGCATGTGAGAAATGCGGTGGCCTAACCGGTCAGCGGTATGGAGTCTGGGTCGAGAGTTCTAGGTTCGAGATCTGGCTTTGTGATTGTGTTTTGATGTTGGGCAATTACAATGCCTCTCTCCGCCAAGAAGTGTAACCGGGTACTAACAAATGTTACAGGAGCTTGACGAAATGCAGGAGGGGGCGGGACAATAATACTCTTTGTCGCTTCCTGTTAGAGAAACTAGGATAAACTGCGGTTGGAAGGTCATGTGGGTCACGTGGGTCACGTGTAGACATTTTCATTGGTTACTAATTGATGACTTTTTTCACCCGAAGGAAACTAGACTTAAACAACTCGCCCTTGTTTCTCGGCGGTTTAAAGGACTTCGAGCAATCCCTGGATCACCCGGGCAAACACATTCAGACTGACGATTTTCTTGGCTGTATGCGAAATGTCTTCATCAATGGCATAAAACTGGACCCAAGTACTGCCACGAAGTCCGCTGGCATCATTGACAGCTGTCCACGGTTAGATCAGTGTGCTACAAACCCTTGCAAGAATGGGGGAAAGTGTGTGGATTACTGGTTTGAGTATATATGTGAATGCCCGACAGGATTTAGTGGAAGGAACTGCGAAAAAGGTTGGTGTGATTGTTCTGCAAAAGAATCGTCTTTCTTGGGCGAGTATTCACTTGGGGTAATTTCTGCCGTTTGTAAACAAAACAAAAAAACAAAATAAAACAAAACAAAAAAAGTTTGATTGGTGAGTAGTTTGTGAATTTTTTTGTCCCCTACATTACGATTTACAATACCTACAGTACCTATCCAGAGCTAAGCCTCACACTGTACGACGAGGGCTTGTCTTACATTTAAATTCACACTAGTTCATCTTAATATCAGTGAATTACAATTGGATGCAGTGGGAGTTAGAAACCTGTATTATCATGTATTATCAGAGCTAAGCCTCACACTGTACGACAAGGGCTTTTCTTACATTTCAATTGACACCAGTTCATCTTAATATCAGTGAATTACAATTGGATGGAGTGGGAGTTAGAAACATGTATTATCAGTTTATTGTTGATCGATTCCAATCGTCCGTTCGTCTTGCCCATTACAGCGTTAATCCCGGTGAAGTTTGGCTTGGACAGCTTCTTAGAGCTGCAGTTTAAGGACAGTTACCGTCGTGAGCAGCAGCGAAAAGAAAAAGAAAGAATCTCGTCTCGGAGGAGACGAGCAGTTACTTTCCACCAGGAACAGTTCTCATTCAGATTCCGTACTCGGAACATGAACGGCCTTCTCCTTCTCGCCAGTGATTCAACCACAGCTGTGTCCTCCGGCTACACTGTATTGGAGGTAAGCTAGTTTGCTATCTTCTCAGAACACAGAACAGTTTTGATTGCAATGTTTTCTCTTTTCCCCCGTGAACTGAGAAGGCATCGAAGTCCAATCAAACAAGACTCACCGAGACTTATGCCATGGACTGTTATGCACTTGTTGCCGTATGAATTTCTTTGTCCTTACTTCTCATGGAAGTTCTTCCTTGCCTTGTTAGTGTTGCCACGGCATTTTGACCAGTGATGAATTTTCAGCTTCTTTAAGATCTTGCGAAAACACACTTACTCGTTATTCTCCCATGCTGACAATCGCTTGCGTTTCCTGTTGATTCTCTTAGCGTCTGTTCATGTTTTTAGTTGAATGGTATTAGTTTGAAGATTACGTGTTGTAGTTTTGCGCATGTTTCCAGGTACCAAGTTGTTTTCATGAAAGGCGGCGTCCCTGTGGAAACTTTTAGCATATTTGGAACATTTACTATGCTCACTTGTAGCCTATACCGCCCAGAACTTAATTTCGCTGATGTTCTTTTTGTTTCCTGGCAGATCAAATCTGGCAATCTCAAGTACAGCTTCGGAAATGAGGGTAACGTCGCCAGCTTTGAAGTCGAATCTTCCAGTGTGTCTGACGGCGAGTGGCATAACGTGACAGTCAGTCATGTTGATAAGAGCGTGACAGTCACGCTAGACGGTGACCCTCGGACAAATTCATTCGCAAGTCCAGCGCACGATTTTCTTGGTAAGAACATAGGGATCTGGTTCCTGGGTGGTTACGATTCGTCTATGTCGGGCTTGAAGTTGGCAAATTTCTCCGGCTGCATGGAAGATCTAAACATCGACGGTTTACACGTGTCGTTCTCAGGACCAAATAAGTTCGCTACAATTTCTTCTCAAGGTGGTTCAGTTGACGAGGGATGTGGTGGCGGAAGTTTCTGCTCCTCTGTCACCTGCTCAGACGCCGAAAAACCTTATTGCTTTGAAGAATGGGAACTAGCTACCTGTATCAGCGACAAGCAATGTAAACCGAATCCTTGCGGAAAGAATGGGACCTGCCAGCCGCAGAAAGACGGGAGCTATATTTGTAAGTGCAACGGAGAGATTGGAGTTTGCGTGGCAACCTCTGGTCCTAGAGGCGGAGATGGTGACGACAATTCACTAAGCACTGGAGTCATCGCAGCTATAGCTTTCTTTGCAGTGTTGTTAATACTGATCATCGTGGCAGTGATTTTCGCTCGTCGGTTTCGACGTCGTCAAAAGGCTAACGACAAGACGGTAACGGAGGGTTTTGACGCAGCTGTCACCGGGACTGAGTTGACTGCGGATGTACAGGACGCCTCACAGAGAACCTCTCCCTCGCATAGTAGTGATGACAGCGGTGTAGTGATTCGTAATCCGAGTCAGAAGTCGCTGACTGATTTGCGGCCGGCTACCCTTCAAAACGGCAAGGACATTGTGATACACAACGTCGGAGCTCCGGAAGATTATCAGATCAAACTTACGAGATCCCAGGAGAAACTCGACCCAGGATTCTCCGAATCCGACGGGGAATTTATCATGCGTAACGATGTGGCTTTGAATAAGGAAGTGCCTGTTGGTCTTGGAGATGTATCAAGGCTGTCACGAACGCCGAATCATCGAAGCACACCACTGGAAAAGGACCACATACGATCGGCACCGACAAATAATCGATCGAGGAATCGTGAGCGGAAAATTCCGAACCCTCACTTTAGGCATGGCACGGACAAGCGGCAACCGTTATCTAGAAGTATCCTGGATCCAAGATTGCGTGTACCCTCCACGCAGCCAACGAAATCTTCGCGACGCTTTCGAAAAGGTTCGCTGGGTTCTTCGAGCAGCGACGAACCTGCGGACTTCTCCGATGCCGGTCACAGATCCGATGATAACAACTCTGAAAGACTAGAACACTATGATATTGAGGTAGCGAGCCTTGGCTATAGTGAAGTGTCTTACCAATATGATCCAAATATGTTCAAAGACCATTCGTTGAACCGCCAAGAACCACGAGGATTATCAGCAGTAGAAATCGAGAAACTTCGAAGGCAAGCACCATCAGGAAGCTTACTCGATGCTGTGTCCTCAGTAAGTGACGAAGATGCCCCGACAATCGATAAGTTGTCAAGCGTTCTCGAAGTTCCCGACGCCCCCGACACTTCTAGCGAGAGTTCCGACGATACTTTTACGTGTAGCGAGTTTGAATACGACAACGATGAACCCAGCCGAGAAGATAATGAACGTGGTAGTATGATATTCTCCAAGCTTGTCAATGGGGATGGGGAGAACGAAAATACTTCGAGGAGAGAACCGAACGAGGGACGAGCGTCAAACCGAGGATCACTAAGTACTTTGAATCTGAGCGATGATGAAATTTTACCAAACGCTTTGAACAATAAACCAACGAATGGCAAGAAAGATTTATTCAACTGGGATGATGTGTTAAACTGGGGTCTGAGGTATCACAATCTTCGCGGAGTGTATAAAGACATTGCACAGCTGAAAGATTCTACGAATGCTACAAAGAACAAGGACGAAGAGTATGTTTGATAGAGCAAGAGATGAAGTTATTTTCCTAGGGAACATTTTATTTATTTATTAAGAAAAGGTTTGAATTTACCAAGCCAAGTGAGCCAAAAATGGTGTATATAGCAATATAGCGTGTTTTTAGATTACTGTACGAGAGAAAAATGTTTGACTCAGATAGAAACTTTACAGATGATGCTTTTAGATGAGTTTGGAGTTTTTTTTTAAAAAATTGTATTAAGTTTTCTGTGAAGACGAGAACAAGGAAATTATTTATCCACTGAAAACTTCAATTTGAAGCAATTTTCAAGGGATTTAAAGCTCTTTTACCATACGTTTTCATCATTACGTTACGTCTCTCTCGTGTTACTATACTCTTAGCGTTTTCAATGGTCACAGTCCTTTATTATCCTAACATGTTGTTTTTCGTTCTTTTGGATCGACGAATGACATTAACTTGGGGACTTACCTGGGTTTGTTTTTATACGATCTGCATGTGTTATAATTAAACGGCTTTTACCACTCGCAGAATACAAAAAAGTTATATTTGTAAAAAATGAGCGCGATCGTTGATGAATGCTGATTAAAGTATGTTTTGTATGAGTTGTGTGTAATGAGAATCGATCATTCTTACCGATAATATAATTTTCCGAGGCCTTTAGGAGAACCATTCGCGCAGTGCTTTTTCATTTTTTATGATAAAATTATAAACCAATTTTTGGTGTCTAAATCTATTGTCACTTTGTAAGCCCATTTCGGTCAGCATCCAAAATGGGCGCCGTGTTTTGGCGTTTATCAGGCGAGACGAGGCCAGCATGTGCGCGGGTAGCGAGACACTTGGCTCGCGCTCGCTTCCACTTGCCTGAAAAAACGCCCCCCAAAAAATGGCGCCTGTTCTGCAAGCTACACTTTAGTTAACGGGATGCCCCTTTGAAGAATACACCACATTCATCCGCAAGTTATTCATCCACACGAGTATAAATATTTCAGTCCTTTGGTCCCTTTTTTATTTCTCGTCCTTGGAACTCAAGGACCAATGTGGTTGTTCTGTCTTAGCCCCCATTAAGCCTTATTTTATTATATCTTTATGGATGACGAACTTTTGCAATACAACAACTTCACGACTAGAAGATTGCTCCTCTGGCGAGTACATCTGACAGTCCTCGATCAGTTTCGTTTACCATTTTTCGCTGTTTTTTATTCCCACGTTTAGACTGATGAAATATCTCAATTCTGACAATCCTGTCTTCTCTGTGGAACTGAAAAACAAGGATAATTTGCTTAACAATGCAAGCATCTTAGGTTGCTGATCATTTCCTTCATTCTCATAATCTACATGAACAATTTGGCAGTTATACTGTAAAGAGAAATCAGATGCTGATCACTCCTAGGATTTAAAGAGTTAATCAATATATTCCTGATGCTAGATTGGTCTGGTCTCAGAAAACTGCGGTGTCTGCAAAAAGACTTTCCTAAGAGAGAAATTAACCTAGTCACCCCAACAAAAATTTTGTTACCTCTGGCATAACCATTCATTTTCATAGCTGGTGTTTAGTATGAGTGTTGCCCGAAAATGAAGATGGCAAAACCTAAGTAAAAACAAGCAGATATGCCTCCTCAGTGTTGAAGCTCAACTGCTGAAAACTCCCACATGAACTCTGGTCGCAAAAAAAGGCAATGGCTTAACCTTCAAGCATCTTTGCACCACAGTACTTTTTATTTTCACTTCTGTTGTCTCACCTTACAGCAAAAACATGGGGAAAACAATTGTCTAGTGAAAACTGTTCTTTGATTTTGTAGACTGCTTCAATTACTTCCTGGTGTCTTGGCTTTGGAAGTTTGTCCATTTTTGTCAAAATCACCTAGGAGTCACAATGTTACAGGAGCTATGAAAATTAAGAAATAAGAAATAGGACTACACATTAACAAACTACCATCTCCCACAACTGTTAATATTTTTGGTCATGCACTTTATTCTTCAAATATTTGGCTGCAAATCAAATAAATTTTTCTCTTTGGTCAATTTTTCTGGGGTTTCATTAAAAGCCAGTGACTGGCTCTCAACTACCCTATACGACCCCCACTGCCATCTGTTTCACCCTGATATCAGTTAAAAAATTCTCCATACTCATCTCTATGCATTTCCTTTGGTAATGACAAGGAGAATTTGTTTAACAATCAAAGCATCTTTGGTTGGCGATCATTTTTATTATTCTCATGATTTTACTAAGTGATTCAGCAGTAATTACAGTAAGGAGAAATTAGTTGCTGGTCACTCTGAAGATTTTAAGGGTTATTTTGCCACCAGGCTATCCTGTTTGGGTTTTGCCTCATGGCCCCTTTTCCATGTGCAGCTGCCTATGACACCATCAGCAGCTGCATATGCAAAAAGTGAATAAAACCCTTGCATTGTTATCTACTAAAAAAACAGCAGTGAGCTCATTTTTTTTCCTAAAATATTTCATTATCCTCATGAAAATTTTTACTTAATGTGTATAAATCAAGTTCAACACAGATTTCTTTTGTGACTCCAGGTCAAGAGGCACAGGTCAACCTATTATGTTCTTGGGCATACTTCTCTTGCACAGTGTCTCTGAAGGGCAGTGTCTTGCATGGGTCCTTGTGTCCCATTCACACCAACCCTATTGGGTCTACAACTTGTATGAGTCATACCCAATAGCACTGTTAAAAGAAAAAACAACAAAAACTTACTTGAAAAGGACCACCAAATTCTCCCATCATTTCAAACGCAATGAGATCGTTTTTCTTCACTCCAACTTTTCCATCAATCAGAAGACAAACACTCCTCAACCTGATGATAATCAATATCAATAACTATTAATGATATCATTAATAACACAAATATGTATATCAGTAAGTTCTTTTGTGTCTCTATGTATCATCTACAAAAGAAGCATGAGGTGCTAATACCTATTAAGAAACCTGATTTTTCTTTGTTCTGTCAGTAACAAATGTCTGAAACACGTTATCATTTCTACTGAATGTGTATAACTCAAGTTCATCACAGATTTCTTTAGTTTAATAGGTAGAGTAACTGGAATTGCAGTTGGTGCTGGCTGGGGTCTGAATCATCACAGTGGAATCAGTTTTCTTTCTCAAACACTTGTGATGAATTGTTGAGAATTAAAACATCTCTCTTACAAAGTTTAAACAGGTCAAGGGTAGAAACCCCTGAGAATCATTGATTCTCAACATTTGATATTACATGGCTATGATCTCGATTAACCTCTTCATCACTTAGAGTAATTGGCTTCTAATTTCTCCGTACAGCATCATTTGTGAATCTTAAGTTAGAAAAAAGGAAGGAGATGATCACTAAGAAGCTTCTGATTATCAAAAAAAATTCTCTTTTCCAGTATTGAAGAAAGTGTAAAGAAAAAAGTGTGGAGAATATGAAAGCTAATATAGGTAACACTTGAAAGGTTTCACTTACTCTTTTCCAGCTCGTTCTTTCAGGTATGTCTCTGCAACTTTGACAAAGTGCTCAGTTCCCCGCTTGCTTCCAAGACCCTCCACATGACCATAGCCAGGAAGATCCACCAGGTACATTTTAGAATTGATGTTGAAAAAGTTGATAAGCCTCGTATGTCCCTGTTAAGGGAGGGATGTAAAATCTCAAATATTAATAATGGAAGGAAAAAGATCTCCTTCAAATCAAAAACAGCATTGTAATTAGTTGGCTCAACATAAACAGCTGTTCAAATCGTTTGTTTTTAGACGTAGTTAGAGGGTCTGTGAATTACAGGAGTGAAGTAGAAACATAAGCGGGTGAATGTTGCTAATAAAAGTAAACACAACTTTGGGTTCCTGGCTCCATTGTGAATTGATGACTCATTGAAGCCGACCATGGTATGAATTCTCGTTCCAAATTGTCAGGTATTCCCTGAGAAAACAGAGGGAGAGGTATGTACAAAAAGCCACCAAGACCTTCATTATGCAGACCTCTTTAATTAGCAGCCAGAAATTCCCTGCAGAGAAACTGCAAGTAAGGTGTAGAATTTGTTCCAATACATTTGTATATACTGAACCAATCTTCATGCCTGCACCCTCAGAAAACAGACAGCTATATAGATGTAGTAGGTTTCAAAAGACATACTGGCTTTTTTGATGTCCTCACAAGCTTGTTCCTGTTTAAGATTGCATTTATAAGAGATGATTTACCAACACTTGTTCTTCCAATAAATGCAACCTGCTGGTGAAAGAAGTAAACCAAGAGTTATCTAAGTATATACTAGTTGTAAAATTATTTAGATTGTTTTTATAAAAGGTTCCATTATTTCCTGTTCAGATTTGGAATGGATTGACAATTGCCAGTTTCATCCTTCCCCTCCCACATGCCCCAGTCTTCACCACAAAGAAGTGACTCACATCCCTGCTGTCCAAGATTACAAACTAAGGCATTTACTTACAATTTTTATGAATAGCTGTTGTAAGGTATTAGTTGCAATATAACTGGTGCTTAAATAAATCGGAATATCTGGTCGAGTATGTATTGAACGTTACACAAGACATCACCTCGGGTAACTTAAGTCTAGGAGCGTCCTCCAGTTTGAGAGCAGACCCTTGGAAAGAGGCTTTAGGGCCAATCAAATCAAATTCTTTGTCTGCTCTATCTAAAGCTCTTTTGGTTGGGTTGAAGCCTGCGTTATATCCTTGAATACCAGGTACGACATGTTGACAGTAGGACCTCCATATTAAAAGACTGAACGATTTCGTATGACAAGTCAAAAACCGCATAAAATCTCCTGACCCAGGCATACATGTAGGAAATAAGTTGTTGAGCTGTGAAAGCGGTGCCTAATTTGAAAATACTGCGCCTGCAATCGTATTGCGGTTGTAAACATCCGGGATACTTGCGCCATGTGGAGGAAAAATGGCGGCCATCGCTGTCCCATCAAATTTAGTAAAGAATTGGGAAAAATCGGGAAAAGATGAAGTGTAAGGCTGTTCATTTTCTTTGAAGCGCCAATCTTACACTCAGATCTTTTAGGATCGTACTTTTTTTGCAGGTTTCGTTTGTGCAAGAACTGCGCGCGGGGCAAAGATGGAGAGCTTCTGGAACTAAACTTCCAGTGCGGAGAGAATGGTTGGTAAACTCGTCAATTCGATTTGAATTCTTATGATGATTTCTATAACTGTTTCTATTTGTACCTTAGATCTTAAACGCGTGATCTATGAAGTATTTAGCCATGTTATTCGAGGAGATCTGAGACAGGAAGATGCTTTACCGCTCCTGTCAGATGTCACAGTAAGGAACACATTTTTTCTTTGATTATTCGTTCGATTTCCTACTTCTAATTCTGAGTCGAATTAATGCACAAGTGTAATTCAATGAGACGTTCCGCCTTGGTTCATAAGACTTTTGGAGGTAAACATAATTTTTCGACCGTGCTTTTGTAATTGTGTAAGTTGTTTTTATGCCAGCAGTTAATTAGTTTTTAGGGAAACAGAGTGGTTCCGTCTGAAAACGAAATGTCCGCGCATCTTTGTAACTGTTCAGATGGATTAGTTTCCCAGGAAACTCTAACTTGTTGTTTTGAGTCAGGGGCAAGTGAAACACTTTGTTTTTGACTTTAATAAGTAATGTTTTATGCCTTAACTTCAGTGTGTCTCTTCGTAAATTACCATGGCGCTGACAAGGAGAATTTGGTTTAAAGTTAAGAGTTCCTTTAGTTAGCAATCATTTCCTTTCTTTGGCAAGATTTCCTTTTAACCATATACTTCACTACGTATTCAATTCTTGGATAAAGGAAAGCATAAGCAAAACCACAGATTTCCTTTGGGAGTACGGCTTTGTGTTTGATTGGTATGGAGTTATATGGAAATCTTTCCGTTTGTTCTCATGACCCTAAGGTTTGATTGAGCAGTTAGTCTATTGGGAGAAATTAGATGCTAGTTGCTCTTAGGGTTTGCTGGATTAGTTGGTGTCAGATAATTTTAAAAGCAGTGCATCAGTACTTAACTGGAGCACAAAGGAGCCTGGTAATCCTTTGTTTTATGTTTGACCCTTTAACTCTAAGAATTGATTAAAATGTAACTTCTCCCTATAATGTTAATACATAATCCAGCAAACAGGTAATGAGAATACTCAACCTTATCAAACAGGAGTTGTTTCTTGATCTAACATCAAATTCTCTGTACTAATCTACAATGAAATGTGTAGCAGCAGGAGGGGAGAATTAACAATCAAATCCTGAGAGCTAAGGGGTCAATGCCCTCAATAGCAGTTCTGGTGTCACCAAGGCTTTGACTTGACTATTATTTGTATAATTTTATTTTGGTTTCATCTTTCAGGAAGTCCATCCAGGATGTTCATCGCTGTTAGCTGACCTGATATGTATCTTGGGTACTCAAGCTCTATCCAATTATTGCTGTTGCTTTACATTAAAATATGTTTTTTTGTTCTGTCCAATATCATGTGCTGACTGCAGTGTTGTCAGGAGTACAGGTTTTCATGATTTTATGTATCCTATGGTTCCTGGTGTATTCACAATCCTATAGATGTGGAGAGTCAGTGCGCCGAGGACAAGCCAAGCAGAGAGAGGTTCTTGTCTCTCGTTGGAGCTTGTGGGGTATGTTTGGAGCCAAAAAGTGGTGATATTGTTCCAAGAAATTACTTTCATTTTCTAAGAAACTCTTTGCACTGGTAATGGGGGTTTCAGTAAGGGCTGGGAACTGGTGAAATTTGCTGTCTATGGTATTTACCGTATTTATAATATACATGGGTAAATATGGTATATCAAGCAAAGTTGCCGACTATTTTCTCTGAAACCATGAAACTAGAGTAAAAGTTGAACTTCCAATAGCCATCTTCTTGGCAGTTTTTGCTCTCAGCTAGTATTTCAAATAATTTAGGTGAATTGCAAAGGGATTGGTATATAACTCGAATTCAAAATGGCAGGATTATGTTAAGATATCATTGAACAAAAGAACATATATTAGGCCTTCCAAGGGACTAGTGATGAATTTGAGATATCACTGGTACAGAGACCAAGAAACTCTGATGTAGTGGAGGACCTGATATTCTTCGAAAGCCACGTACAATTCCTGATCATACCTAATGATGCAAAAAATGTTTATATACTGACTTGCTAAAAGCTATTTAAGGATATCTAATGTTTTTTTTTATGTATATTGCTGCAGGGATTGGTTCCAGAAGTTCTGCTCAAGGAAAGGCTGGAAGTGGAGACTTTGGACTCACTAGGAATCATTCAGTCAACAAAGGCTTTTAATCAGAAATACGTCAGGACCAAGACTAAGTTATTGTATGTATATGGTGAAGTTCAACCTTTCAGTGTTTGGAGATATCTTATTTTCATGGCTAAGTAATTAGTTTTTAAGATTAGTAATACATAGTTTACATTTGAAGAGCTCATTCTAGCAAGTAAGCTTTACTTTCTATCTGCCTTAAAGAACTTACAGAATTTTCCTTCATAAATTGTTAGATAACAATCCTGGTGTGTGTTTCTTAGTAGGCCATCAACCCTCTAGCTCCCGCGAGAGACCAAGATACATTTTCTCCTTATAATAGCTATACAATATTAAGCAGACAAGTGATGAGAATAAAGAAAAATATCAATAAGAGGATTATTAGTTGATCCAAAACCAAGTTCTCGAAACTTGCATTATAAGAATTGTATAGCAGACAGTGAGGAGAATTATTAACTGAGGAAGATCTTGGGAGTGAAAAGGTTATTTTAAAGTGATTATTTTTTCTAGAATTTGTTGTACATGTATCTTGACCAAGTCTTACAATTTGAATGATATCAGGTAGAGGCCTGCTGTTTTTTCCGTGCCAAATATGTTATTGTTCTCTTTTTATTGGGTCTTTTCTATGCAAATTATCTTAAGTCTGTCATTATCTTCGTTTCCTTAGCTATAAGCAACAGAAATTCAATCTTGTGAGAGAGGAGAGTGAGGGCTATGCCAAACTGGTCACAGAACTGGGACAAGAAATCAGTGGACATGTCACCAGTGAAAGAGTTCTGGAGAACATTAAGTCTCTAATAGGTCAGAATAGCTGTAAGATACCAAGCTCATGCAGAGCTGTCAATTTGAGCTGGAAGGTGACCAAATTGGATGGCCAGTCTGCCATCCTCAGTCAGCTACTTTCACTTCACTTTACCAGAAATACTGACGAAAATCATATTATTCTTGACTGCCTTCATCATTGTTAACTGATAACATAGTCTTGTTTTATACCAAGAGCTCCAGATTTTCAATATGATCAAGAACTTTACAAGAATCCAAAGAGTTTGTTTGTAAAATTTGGATTGACACAGTCACATCATTGAATTATTATAATTTTTTTTTTTCAGGGCGGTTCAATCTTGACCCAAACAAAACTCTTGATGTCTTGTTGGACTCGTTTGAATGCCGCATTGATATAGAGGACTTCTTTCTTCCCCTTTTGAAATCATACATGGAGAAATGTGAATCCACTGCCCTCTGTCACATTATAGGCTTTAAATTCCAATTTTATAAGGTACGGGTTTTAGAAATCAATTATTTTTAAGAGTGACTGTTTTACGATGAAACTAAAATTTTTGCCTGACACTGTTTCTATGGTGGACTTTTGTTCTAGGACCAGCCTGACTTGCCCACCCCTCCATCACTTTTCCATTTAACAGCTCTGCTTATAAAGCATGGTCTGCTGAACTTGGATGACCTTTATCTTTATGTAAGTAATATACTCACAAAAATTAAGGGCTTAAATCAGGCAAGTATGATAATTGTAACAGTGTGTTGTAAGAATATTTTCTGAAAACTTTTTCATTCACAAAAGGGAAAGTGAAGAGTGACCAGATTTGACTGGACTGCACAGATGCTTCTCCTATTGTTTAATCCAAACTTAATGTGGTGACACACTAAAAATGGGTATTGTACATGTACTCCTGAGCAAGGTCGGACAGTGAGGTTTCAACATGGCTAATGCTCTCTGGGAGGGAAGGAAGGGTATTGCTCTAATTTTAAATTTTAGCTAATAGAGGATGTTCTTATTCACTTAATGGAGGGGTTGCTTACTGGAATGGAGGGGCTTATTTATGAGATCTTGTGCTTTTTTTTTTTTTTTTTTTTCTTTTTCAATTTGATGGCCACCAGTAATACATGATCCAGAGGGGATCACTAACTTTTACTTCACATTTCCAAGAGCTAGTTATTAAGAACTTTTGCAAGTAAAAAGGTGTTAGAAGTTCAATATTCTTTCTTTAGCTTAGTCCTTCAGATGCAGACATCATCACTAGCAACACATCAAGAATGGATGAAGCCAAACAGGAAGCAAGGAAGATGAACATGGCAGTTTTAGCTGTAAGTTATTCTCAATTCTGAATTTCTAAAGTACATATGTAGAAAATGCTGTACCAGACGGTAGGTGGAGTAGCATGGGTTGTTTAAAGACTTGGAACTTGTTTTTTTGTGTTGTTTATGTAGAACCCTTTATCCTCAAACTCTTAGAAGGTATTGATATTGATTTTCTTCCCACAATTTCACAAAAATATCCAGGAAGATGGTAAAGAGAATATAGAGATTTATCATGTGAAGAGTTTTGTCTTGTCAAAACACCAAATTCTTGTATCTACCGTTAAAGTTATGAAGTAAGGGAACTTATTGACCCTTAAAGGGACAAGTTATCTTTCTTAGATGTGTCTTCCCAAGATATGTTGATTGGGTTTTTCTATCTGCAATACTTACATGTATATTTGATGTTATATTTTTTGTTTTGCAGGAAATTGCTGCAGCAAATAATGAAGAAAACAATAAGGAAAATAAAGAAAATGATAAGCCTACAATTGTA